GACGGAACTCCACAAAAATTGGCGTGTATACAGGGAATATCATCAAATTTTACATAACAAACTGTCAAATCATTTCAACAACTCTGCATTGATTAAAGCTTTCAATGTCCAAGCCACCATTTTAAACGATCAGATTCAGTCTCTCCCTGAAACAAAGCAAACTTTTCTCGAAAAAAATCAGGAGTCAATGAAGTGCATGCTGCTTCGATGGCCATCTGGAGCGAGTTCAGATCCTTGTGCGACTTTCGGTACACCACCCAGGCAGCACAAGTATGTTTAATTCATATCAACTTGATGTGGACAAATCTACAACAGCAAGTGGATGTGACGTAAAACTCACGCTCATATTGACAAGTTATTGTATCAATAACTTGTCAATTGTGTACCACTCCATCAGCATCAATATTGTTATGTGAATTTTACGATAAATTAACGTTGATATTTACTAGCCCATTGCATCAATAACTTGAGCGCAAACAAATACGGTCTATCTTAACTGGCCGCAGCTCGCAGAGCGCTGGTCAGACCACACTGAAACTTGCCCAGCTATAAGCTAAGACTCCCCTCCATGTTACTGCCATAGCCCCACTCCCCTCCTCTCTCTCAAAGTTCAGCAATAAAACCAGTCTGGAAACATAATAGCCACACCTCGTATATATGGGTTATATATACGTGGGTTATTCAGAAAGTCTGGTGAAAGTTAAAGTTGTCATTATGCCAGAAGCTGACTTTTATTCTCTATTCTTTTTCATAAATACTTCCGATATGAGATTTTTTTTTCCTTAATTAGAATTTAAAATGCATAATTTCCCAGCAATCCGCTCTCGTTTGGTTCAGTCTATCAGGCAGTTTTCTTTTTTTGAGGCTATTATTTTTCCATTTTTATATTTCTTCTTAATCGTTTTCATATGCTACCGCTTTAATGCCAGCAAGGACAAAGTATAATTTTTTTTGGGTGATTTTCAATTTGCCGATTGAGTTTCTCCTCGTTCGCTAAATGACAATTGCTTTTTGACCCCCTTCACCAGGGGGATTTTCAAGAGCAGTCAGACAACAAAGGAACCGCGAAAACTAGTCATAAACAAATTCTTTAGGTGTTGCTCCAGTGTGAAAGGTTTTAACAAGCCTTTCTTGCAGTTTCAAACTCCAGGAACGATTGCATGAAAATCACAGCAACACAACCGAACCTCAGAAGACGTGAAAGGGCTCATGTTTTTGCTAGAATCGGGTACTCGTGTTAGGCAAAAAATAATGCAAAAATTCATTGGAGCTTCTACTACCCTATAGAAAAAAATAAAAATTCAGCTACTGACATTATGGGAAATATAACTTTCACTGGGATTTCAGAATAACCTAAGTACAAGTGTTTTCCATTTCGCCTATTCATTCGAGTAAATTAATTATAATATAAATTTCATGATTGTAATTCATGGCCTCATAATGAGTTCAATATTCCACGATTTGAAACTTTGCTGCAGAAGAGAGTGTTTCTTAATCCCAGCAGGGTAGTTATGAATTCATCGACAACACGGTCTTAAGAGGGAAAGTGACTTTGTTGATTCACGGTCAATGTTTTTCCAGAGCCCTTGGAATGCAAGCTGACCGAGGCGGGCCGAGAGTACAAGGGATGGCTGAACGTGGACGAGAACGGGAAAAAGTGCGAATTCTGGTTGCGTCTGACGCATGACGATGACCCCATGCGCCAATATCTGTCGGCCTTCTCCGATCCTGGCGTGGACAGTCGTCATAACTACTGCCGGAATCCGAGCGGTGCTACGAGTGGTCCCTGGTGCTACGCTGTTGGGAGTACCAGTCTGAGTCAATGCAAAGTCCTTTCATGCTGGGAAGCATACAGGCAATCTGCTGTTGCCGGTATGGAATGCGATTGTGCCGTTCGGATGTTAGATTTCTTATTTCATACTCTGCACAATTCGATCATTTTAATGTAAGAATGCGAGAATTAAAGGACGTCAATCGAATTATGATTCAATGAAAACTAAAACTGGAAAAATGAGGTTCCAGCATTATTTATTTCTAAAGGTGTGAGCTATGTACACCGTCTGAAAGACATATCTGTATCTCGGTGCAAGAGGGCATTGTCATGAATATGAGATTCCTCTGGACGAAACTTGGCAGGGAAACCATCCGACGGATACCCAGAATGCCTGCAGACCGCAATGGGAAAGGAGTACTCGGGGACGACGAGAAGGACCATAACGGGCAAGGCATGCCTCGCGTGGGACACCCAGGAAAACCGGAAGACTGTGGACTTTGACTCGGCGATCGCCTACAAGCTCCACTTCCCAGAGGAGAACGCGAAAGAGGCCTGGACTCGGAGGTCGGGGGACTTCTGCAGGAATCCGACGCTGAAGCAGCGGCCCTGGTGCTTCGTCAACGACACAGTTGTCGAATGGGAATATTGCGACATCCCGAAATGCCCAGATTATCCCAGTGAGATCATTCTTGTATTCATTTTGCCAATGATATTTTTTTTCATAGCAATAGTTAAAGATAAAATTCTACTCAGTGATGGCTTCCTGGGAACATAATTATTGAGCAGCCACATATTCTGTAGGAATATATCTGAACAAAATGAGGAAAATCATATTTAATATATCCGAGCAAAAATTAGTATGGGAAAGTATTTTAACGGAAAATAATGAAATGCATTAACAACATCTGGCTTATATAGACGATCGTGACTGACTGACTGACGCTAATTCTAACCATGTTCTAGAAAGGTTAGAAATCTGAAACTTGGTACACATGTACCTTTTGGGATGCAGAGTTCAGAAAAAATCCCACTTTGGAGGTACGTGCCTTGGGGGTACAAATTTTGGAGGGAAATGTTTTTCTTAAATATATATTGTGGCAGATGAGGATGGCATTCAGAGAGCCAACTGGATGTCCTGGGTTCGGTGGTGTAGTAGTAGCATATCTGACCAGCAATCAGGAGGTCCATGTTCAACTCCCAGCGATTCGTTGGTTTTATTTTTGGCTTCTTTTGCCTTCGACATCCTGTTACTCATTCCCCCTCCATAACATTACTTTTGCTTGAGTAAAACGGAGAGACATGGAAAGGTGAAACCTGGCATGGAGGTGCCTACAGAGACGATGAGTTCAGGAAAATTGCAAAATGTTAGATCCATGACCTAGGGGAAAATTTTTGGGGACAACGTTTTCAAGTATGTCTTCTTGTCCTGGCGTATTGAGCTAGTGTGGAAAGATGAAACTTGGTACAAAACTACCTATTGGGATGCAGTATAAAAATGCAGACTTCGGAAGTAAATGCCCTAGGGGCACAAATTTCAAAGGGATATGTTTTCGACTAATTTTTTTGCATCAGTTAAACTGATGAACATGGAAAGCTGAAACTTTGCATGAATGTGACTACAGAGAAAAGGAGTTAAATAAAAATGTTCAGTCTCGATATATGCCCTGGGGGAAGTTTTTCGAGGGGCGATGTTTTGAAAAAGAAATTGTGGCGAATTGGATAGAAATGGAAAGGTGAAGCTTGGCACACGTATAAGTGACATGATATTTGACTCGACTCCCTCATAAGTCGAAAGTACCACGTAGGGGAGGCCCGTATGCTTTTGGGTGGGTCGGCTTTTCCAAACATGTTTTTTCACTAGCACAAGGACAAACACATAATATTGAAACTTTGTGGGCATGTAATTCACTGAGGATGGATTTCGGTAAAAAAAAAGGTACTCTTCGGTTAAAACGGCTCAGGGCACATATTTTGCAAAAGGTCCATTTTCACGAATTTCCTGCTCCAGCAAAGTAGAGGGCGCATGAAAGCTCAAACTTCGTAAGGTACATGGTGGATAGCTGAGTTAAGAAAAAATTATACTTTTGTTATATATAGACGATCGTGAGTACTTGACTGACTGAGTAGCTATTCGCATGCTGAATTCAGGAAAAGTTCTACTTTAGTGATACATGGCATAGGGGCACGCCTTTTCAGGGAACATATATTCAAATAGTTATCCCAGGCAGCACAAGTATGTTTAATTCATATCAACTTGATGTGGACAAATCTACAACAGCAAGTGGATTTGACGTAAAACTCACGTAGTATAACTGTTCAATAACATAGTTATTGAACAGTTAACACATGGTGAGGTAGTCGTAGTTATAACAATACACTTAAAATGCTATTTAATTGCAACTATAAATGATCGGGTAACGTAGTTATTGAACTCCATTGTGTACCTCTCCATGAACATCAATATTAACGTGAATTTAACATGAAATTCATGCTGATATTTACAAGGTCATTGTATCAATAACCCGTCAAATTTGTACCTCTTCTCCAACATCAATATTGACGTGGATGTTACGTCAATTTCACGTTAACACTTGCAAGGCCCTTGTCAATAACTTGTCAAATGTATATCTCTTCACCGTAAACCTTGACCAGGAGGATCAAAGCTGATTTTCATGTCCACACATCGGTGAACACGCAGTGACATGCAAAATAAGGCTTTCCTAAATGAAATTAAAATCAAAATAACCTGTCAAATTTGTACCTCTTCTCCAACATTAATATTGACGTGGATGTTACGTCAATTTCACGTTAACACCCGCAAGGCCCTTGTCAAATGTATATCTCTTCACCGTAAACCTTGACCAGAAGGATCAACGCCGATTTTCATGTCCACACATCGGTGAACACGCAGTGACATGCAAAATAAGGCTTTCATAAAAGATATTAAGATCAGCATGAATGGGCCTCAAAACAGTATCTGAGAAGGCCTGTGCTGAATGATTTGATTGGCTCCGATTATCCTCTTTTTCTCAAGGTGGCATGCTTCATAAGAGAAGTTGTATTCATTATAGATTGCCAAGTCTAATGCTAGCAAATTAATGAAGACAGATGTATATTTCATACAGATGTGATAGAGGTATGACCAAGGATTTCATAATTTTTTATTTCTTCTCCTTGAAAATCAGTTTTGAACGAATGAATCACAGAATCACAAAGAATCACATTTGGGCAGGTTCCTTCTGATAAAGGCGCTCCTTAGCCTGCCGAAATCAGTCACTAACAAAGATGGTTCTCTCTTGTTGGGACATGGAAGCAGCTTTCCCACTGCAATCAATAGCTTCTGCAATATAAAAACATTAATTCAATGATGATCACTTGAGTTTCCCACAATAAGATAATCTTTTATATGCTGAATGGTTAATGTAGAACTGACATTTAAGGAATGAGAAATCCAATTGCACTGATCACATACAATATAAAAACATTAATTCAATGATGATCACTTGAGTTTCCCACAATAAGATAATCTTTTACATGCTGAATGGTTAATGTAGAACTGACATTTAAGGAATGAGAAATCCAATTGCACTGATCACATGAATTTTCAATAAACATACTTGATATGAGGTCAAAGATGCCCAGTTCTGTAAGGGCCTGCTTCTCCTTGTGTCTTGTGGACTTGCAAACAAAGTAAAGGAATGAGAAATCCTATTGCACTGATCACAAGAATTTTCAATAAACATACTTGATATGAGGTCAAAGATGCCCAGTTCTGTAAGGGCCTGCTTCTCCTTGTGTCTTGTGGACTTGCAAACAAAGTAAAGGGCAGCTCCATCATCCATGAGTTGACGCATGAGAGTTGAGACTGCTTTCTTCCCTTCCATATTTCAGATAGTAGATGCCAGAATAGCAATCTGCAACAAAAGAAATATAGTAAATATCTTACTGAAGAATAGAGAAGTGGTAAAATGGAGATTCACAGATCTATGGCATACACACAGTGCCTATTCCAGGAGAAATTTTTGGTGTGCACCACTCCAATGGAAATCTATTCACAAATTGAATCACTAATTCTGCGACATAGGTTCGATTGGCGCTTCAGAGAAAAACAGTAAAAACTATAAGAACTAAGAAGAATGTGTAGCATGCAAAGGATACCATGCTTAACAGCCCTCAAAAATCTATGTCAAGCAAGTGAAACTAATAAAGACCATGAGATATCAACAGTGAGGTTATGCACAATTGGATGTTGTAAGCAAATCACACTACCTATGTTGGACTAAGTGCAACAGGAGGGCATTAAAAGATTTAATCAGTGTATTGAGAGTGATGGCTGGGGCTTTCAACTAATGTGCTGTTATTTCTCTGTAATTTTCCCCTATTATTTTGGGGTGGTATCCAAAAATGGATCACCCTATTTGTTCAGAATGGCTTGTACTATGTTGAGAATGGAGGGAATCTACATCCATGAGTCGACGCATGAGAGTTGAGACTGCTTTCTTCCCTTCCATATTTCGGATAGTAGATGCCAGAATTGCAATCGGCAACAAAAGAAATATAGTAAATATCTTACTGAAGAATAGAGAAGTGGTAACATGGAGATTCACAGATCTATGGCATACACACAATGCCTATTCCAGGAGAAATTTTGGTGTTCACCACTCCAAGGGAAATCTATTCACAAATTGAATAGCTAATTCTGTGACATAGGTTCGATTGGCAATTCAGAGTAAAACAGTAAAAACTATAAGAACTGAGGAGGATGTGTAGCATGCAAAGGATACCATGCTTAACAGCCCTCAAAAATCTATGTCAAGCAAGTGTGAATCTAAAAGACCCCGAGATATCAACAAAGTGAGGTTACGCACAATTGGAAGTTGTAAGCAAATCACACTGCCTATGTTGGACTAAGTGCAACAGGAGGGTGTTAAAAGATTTAATAAGTGTATTGAGAGTGATGGTTGGGGCTTTCAACTAATGTGCTGTTGTTTCTCTGTAATTTTCCCCTATTTTTTTTTAAGGTGGTATCCAAAAATGGATCACCCTATTTGTTCAGAATGGCTTGTACTATGTTGAGAATGGAGAGAATCTAGTTTCCAATTGCAGAAGCTTGATTGTAGATCAAAAAGCATACCTCAAAAAGGAAGGAAACAGGAATTTCAGCCTGTTATGAGCTGCACACTACAATTAAGTCTTGTTCAGCAGAGTTTTGAGATGAGGTAGCAGCAACCACAAAAGGAAATTCAAGAAATTACTCACTGATTCTTCTCCATACTCTTCATCTGCTTTGATGCAATCAGAGAACAGTGACACTTCTGGTGTTTTAAATCTGAGATTCACATGACCCACAAAGGAAGAGGTTTTACTCCTGAGGCCAAAGTGGTTAATTAGTGACTGGACTTGTAGCTCCATCACAGTTAGCCTCTGTCCTTGTTCATGCTTGACATCCTTCATCATGGCCAACAAAATGCTGTGACAGGTGCACTCACAAGTACCTGAAAAGCAAATAACAAAGGATGAGAAATTGATGAATTCACACACCACATGTAAAAATTCAAGTTCCACATTAGATAGTGAAGGCTGCTTAGGAATGTTGAACATCTCTCAGGTGCTTCAAAATTACAGAACAGTAACTCACAAGCTGGTTTTGAGAGACTTGGTTGCTGGGATGGATGAGGAGGATTGAGAATTGGCTTAAGAATACGCTTTGAAGCATGGACTTTTGTCAGGCCAGGAGTGCTCCAGAAACTTGCACAGGAGGGATTGGAATGTGTTTGTGTTGAGGAAAGAGACATGGTTGCTGGGATGGATGAGGAGGATTGAGAATTGGCTCAAGAATACGCTTTGAAGCATGGACTTTTGTCAGGCCAGGAGTGCTCCAGAAACTTGCACAGGAGGGATTGGAATGCGTTTGCGTTGAGAAAGATGATGACAACAATTTATTGGCTTTGGAGCCAAACCAAGGGATTGAAGTTCCAGCTTTGAGTTTAGTGACTTCTTCCTCATCATCAGATGGCTCAAATACAAATGAGCTGCTCAGTGAGTCACCATCATCTTCATCCTCAGCCTCAGATGAAGGTGGATATGGGATAGAAGGTGACTTGTGTTGTCGCTTAGGAAGATGCTTTTTTTGGCTTCCTCTCTCCAGATAATGAGGTCTTTTTCTTTTTTCATAATCAGTAGTGGCCACATCACTACTTTTCTCGAGCTTCTTAACCTTTGCAGAAACCTGGTCCTTGTTTGCTGCAATATAATATGCAATACAATAGAATTCCATAAATTTCAATCATGAAAAAGTGTTGAAAGACTTTTGGAGGGCAGTATATATACTATTACTTTCTTTTTGGGTAGAACACTAACTGGTGCACTAATTCATGGGATTCATTTACAAATTTTTTCCCCCAGGAAAATGCAATTTTCAGGTTATGAAAATGCATGACTTTCTTAAGTGAAAATGGACAAGTTCAAGTCTGAGCTGACCCCAAGATCATATGATATTGAATTTTCTTTAACATCAATAACACCATATTGTAAATTGCCAAAAAAACCCACAATTTTGTGTAAGTTGAAACTTGGACAGGGATATGTTTACCAAATGCTGCACATCACAGCCTTAAAAGTTACAATGGACCCTTAACCAAAGTTTTAAACAAATACTCACTAGAACTGTACTTCTTCTCCATTCTGCACTTGGAAAACTCCATTTTGTCTGGTCGCCTCAAGGCATTGCAGTAAGCTCTTGCTTTTGTCAATTTGCGGGGATACCAACAAGTTTGGTCATCAATGACCCAAAGTTGAGGGATGATGTCACAGGTATCCTCATCAGGGAAAATTACGGCATGATAAAGCATATGCTTCACTTTCATTTTCAGATCTGAAGACATCTGGTAATACAGGAAACATATCACAGCAAATCAGAAAGAAAAGACTAACCTAATGCAATGAATTAGGAATGTAATATACTAATGAACCCTTTGTGCCTCAAAGTCATAAGCCTGGTGTGACGTTGCACATTAACACTTCCACTCCCACTCCCCTGTTGCAGCTGATATGCCATACAATTTTATTATAATTTAGAGCTTTTCGAAAATAATTGTAGTGGCAACCAGTAACCTGTTTTTTATGCTACATTTTCTTTGTAGAGCTATAGGGAAATTCATATTTGGTGCTGGATTGGAAAGGGTTAAAAGAACTGAATGAACTCATCACAAGTGCCATGATTACAGTGATCACTGGTGGACTTAGGAATTTGCAAGTCTCACTGACATAGCATACTTCAGAAGATTCAGGTAGAGAAGGACATAAAACCATTATGTCCTAGTTTCAACAATGCATTAAGAATGATGATTTAGTGGAATAATCCAAAATGAACCAACCTGACCAGAAGGCAGACACATGCACTTGGCAGTGATGTCATGCACTGACCAGGATTCCAAGTACAAGGACAAGTGACTAACTTTAAATATTCCTAACTGAGATGATCTGCTCGGGTACGAGAAACAATCGCCTTTGCATTGAAAATAAAAGCCTTGAATCCTATTCCTACTCTCTATGCCTGAAATTATGACAATGGTATCAGCTCCCACACAACAACAGTTGTCACTGGAAGGATTCAAAGATGGTTTTAAAATGAAATTATTCAGCTCCAAAAAACCTGGATTTCTTTCTCTCCCATCAACATTCTCAATTTCTAGATGTTCTGCTTCTAAAAGCCTCCTTTCCACTTGGGAGAGAGCCAAGCTTCTTCCATGAACCAATTTTCTGATTTTCTGTAAGAAACTTTCAAAAGCAAATGCAGAAAAGGAATCAAGAGGGCCAAACTGACATCTGCAGTCAACCAAATGTGAAAGAAGGTGGAAATTCATTGTCAAGATCTGCCTCCCATATAAAATGGGGCAGTCTTGCAGGAAAGAAAGCAATAGCTGATGAGCATACTCCAATTCTTCTGCTGTGGAGCTGACACGACACAAGATGGTGGTAGAAACCATCAGCAACATGAAATGCTTGGCAATTTTTCCACTCACTATCCCTTCAATAGCAGCAGCTCCAGTATAAAGTAGGAAAAGCCGAAACTCAGTTGCCTTGAACAAACTTATGTCTGAAAGTGGCCTTGGCTTGCGCTGAAATTCAGTGGGGATGCTTGGGCGAAAACTAACAAGCCTGTCAGACAATGCCTTTCGCTCTTGAGGAGCAAGTCGAACATTCAAAGGACCAACAAGCCATGACAAAAGCAGCTTCTTCATCACTCCTGAACATAGCAAATGCATATAATCAATTGGGAAAATTGCTACTAAGTCAATATTGCCTGGCAAGTCAGCAAAAGGAGTTACTCCTATATGATGCTTTCTATCAGATTGCTTTCGGAAAGACTCATTTGTCCTCTTCAGGAACCTCCCCAAGGGAAATATCACTTTATGATGCTCTTTCAGATAAACACCCCTGACTGTGCACTTGTCACAACCATCCTTTGCATTATGACCCTTTGTCTGCCGCACAAAGCACTTGGCTGGAAGGTCACATATCACTGAATTCAAGATTAATTTTTTTGGATCCCCACTTCCAAGAAGACCATCTTTCAATAGCCTTTGGACATCATCAATCACTGGTTGTAAAAATTCCTTAACTGGGGGCTTTCCAATCCCATAAAAGAGAGCTACCACAAAAGGTTTCTGGTCCCAAACCTGACCTAATATAGTCCAAAACTCATATCTTGACCCTTCCCATATTGAGACACCATCCACAAAAAGTTTCAGTTCAACATCACCAAATACAGTGAAGTCCATTCTCTTCTGCAGCAACAAGTCCAAATGAAAATAACGATAAGCTCCTCCATTCCCCATATCAACCACTTCTGTCATTCGTGGGGTTCTCATAACAGTTCGAGGGTCTTTTGGAAGATCGAAGCCACTACTTCGGAGGACCTGTACCAAGAAAAGAATAGGCCTAGTCATCTATAAGAACTTCTGCATGTTCCAGAGTTTGTATCAGACAGGAAATGAACTCATCTTCAGTAGACCAGCAAGTTGGGCATGAGAAATTCCATGACTATGTTTCCACAAAGCAATATCAGCAAGTAAATTCAATGGACAAGAGCCAGATGGAGCAGAAACATCAGACCTATCCTCAGAATTAAGGACCAGAGAAAGTAATACCTCCATGTCTGCACTAGATGGGGCTATGCAACATACTTCTTTTGCATTCACATCAGTGCCTTCACCCACACTGTAAGATGGCACAGCTACAGACTGACAGGAGACTGCAAAGAGCCTTTCACTTCCCAAAGCAGGAACTTTGGCTTCAGATTCATGGCAGTCTCGAAGCAAAGTAAAAGCTTCCTGCCTACTTCTTCTCCTATTGTACTGAAATTTCCTGCTGCTAGAGGCCATCCTTGGAGTCCAACTAGTCAGGAAAAGGATGCAAAGTGCTCAAGAGTTCCCATTAGGCTGACATATGGACTGATACCAATAGGGCTGTCATCTATACAATTTTAATTTTTTAGTTCAACTTCTAATGGATGTGGCTTGGTGGTAATAAATAAACCTATGTAATGAGGCAACCTTTCAACTAAGGGGGATCAGAATAACTGTGACAAACATACTTAGCCAGTTAGGTGGGACTCAACACTGAACCCAACTAGATCATTCTGAACCCATCTATATATGGCTTTGGAATGATTACAAAAGTAAATAAAAATTTATTAAGGCCTACATAAAAGAGTTATTCCACTCCTGTTACACCCTGTCCTCAGAGAGCAAGAGTCATAACTAGGCTCAAGATGCTAAAGGTCCTGACATTGCCCAGATTCCAGTCACTACCTTGATAAAAATTTCCTCTTCCATTTTCCCCTTATTCTACATTACCATTGTATCCCAATTGAAAGGGAACCACATGAAACCTCTTACATTGAGATTATTAGCCTGATTGCAAAAGACAAATTTAACCTCATGGAAAATTCACCAAGCATATAAAACCAAAAAACCAAAGCTAAGTTATGACAGGTGAAAACAATGAAACTTAATATTTATTGGAATTTAGACCTAACATGGTCTAGCCTAACACTAACAAGTGCCAGACCGAGAACTAGGCCTACAAATAGAGGCCAAAGGCCAATATTATTAAATGGAATTGCGAATGGAAACTTCTTATTAAGCTACTTTCATATCTTAGAGCAGCTCACAAGTATCTTACCACTGAGCGAGTCCTGCGTCCGTCTGAAAGCAAGGCTTCCAAACCGGATATGCCGCCTTGCAGGAAGAGCACTTTCGAGTTCAGAGTACCATGGCCGCCTGTAACTACGTTCAACTGTTATCCGCAGTTCATAATGCGTGTCATGAGCCTTCAGTGAGCATTTTACCATTTCAGCTTCAGTTGATGAAAATTGCACGAATAAGAGTTTGTCAGAGAATTCACAGTGACCTCGTAATTTGTCTCACAAAATCTCACGATGGACCTGTGGATGTGATGTCAATTTTATGGTGATAATTACAAGGTCCTCGTATCAATAACTTGTCAAAAGTGTATCTCCTCATGAGCGTCAATATATACATTAAATGTAACATCAAGCTGATGTGACTTGCATACATGTCAAGTTTTTTACGAAAATAGCAACATCAATAGTCATGTCAAACTTTTCAACATGCATGAAATTCTCATCATATTGACGTAGTATTAATATGAAAGAGTAAATAAGTGTGCTACCTGGGTGGGTACACTCTGCTCCCTATCGGAAAAATTGTCTTCTCATTTTCTTTTCTGGGGAGGAATCTCTCAGGAACGAAACTGGACATACTCCATACCTATCGATACAGAAACCGCCTCAAACAATTTGTAAGTTTTTTCATCTGAAGGTGTGGAGAAATCAAAGATCTCATTCCGGGTTCAAGAAAGATCCGAGTCCCCGGGACGTCCACCTGGTTCCAAATCCACAGGGGGGATGTTCTTGTCCACCCCCCGGTGGACGTTTTGTAAGGGTACAAAATGGGTACATAATTATTAGATCCACCGTATCACCTCGCCTTAACGGTGGGTCACAACGCCGAAAAGAATAGTGCCGAAACGAATAACGGCGGCACAAAAAAGAAGCGACACAGAATAACATCGACAGGAAATAAGTCGACAAAGAACAACATCGAACTGGAAATGCATAGACTCGGAATAAGTTAGACGGTAAGTGCATCGACACGGAGCATCATCGAACGGGATCATCTCGACAAAATTGCTACTCGGAATGAAACCGACACAAGTACACCGGCACGGAATTACTTCGACAGGAGCATACCCGGATTTGCATCGAAAAGAAATATTCAAGACAGGAACTACTCCGACATAGAATAATACCGAAAAACTAGCATAGATGAAGGTGGTGGTGGCGAGAGCGTCACGTCGATGTCGCGCATGTGGGCTAGGTGACTAGCGATGCTTTATTCTATCATGCAGAATGCGGGAAAAGATTTGGCAAATGCACAGTCGATTGCACAAAACTCAAAATCAATAATTTTTTGGAGGCACAATGGAATAGTTATGGAAGCATGGAAACAACTTCAATTATATTTATTGAGAGAGAAAGAGAGAGTGAGAAAGAACGGTCTCATTCCGTAAGGAAAATTTATGAAAAAATCACCAATTACTTGTCTATTCTGTGGACATTTTCCGTCTTGCACAATTATGACTGAAGCGTACGTGGCACATCGTGTGGTCGCAAGAGACCTTGCATCGATACGACCACCTGCAAGAAGAAAGAAGAAGAGCCATGGATAGTGGATAGATCTTTCGGGCACGGATCCCACTGGAGCTTAATTTCTTCATAGCTGTCGGCTAGAGGTTGTCTGCCCTCCTGAGCATCGTTAATTCCTTTTTCACAGGACACATTGCACTGGCTGCCTTCTTGCAGCATGAGCGTAAGCTTTCTCTAGCTAATAGGGTGTGCATTTGTAGTGATTTTGAGAATGACTTAAGCTATGGATAGATCTTTCGGGCACGGATCCCACTAGAGCTTAATTTCTTCATAGCTGTCGGTTAGAGGTTGTCTGCTCTCCTGAGCATCGTTAATTCCATTTTCACAGGACACATTGCACTGGCTGCCTTCTTGCAGCATGAGCGTAAGCTTTCTCTAGGTAATAGGGTGGGCATTTGTGGTGATTTTGTGAATGACTTAAGCTGTGGTTTCTTTCAATCAACAGCCTCTCAGTCATACTCTTTCATTTTCTTCTAGCTTATTTTGGCTCTAGTGGGATTACCGAAAAAGATATTTCTACACTGAAGGTTGAGCAGGACCGTGCCCCGATGAGGATCCTGCTATTCTTTCAGATCCCAAAGGCTCCTTCCCTTTCTTCTCTTTTAAAATTCCATTATCTTACTTTTTGGAGTCGGTTGCCTGAGTAGCCAGCTTTGGGATCTCATTAATTTTCTCCTACATTTAGTTGTGTTGTCAGATGAGGTCGAGCTTCTCGCGCTCTGCTTCATTACTTAGAGCAATGTTGGGCAGTTTAGTGGTGTGGCGCTCTTTTGCGCCATTTTTGCAGTATATATATAGAGAGAGAGAGAGAGAAGTTATTTGGTGCCGAAATTGTCTGAAACTACCCAAGGGCAACAGAAAATGCAGAGGGGGAGGGGGGAAGGGAAGTGCTGGGGAAAGACGTCATCGCCCTCTTTTTTGTTCAAAACGGCACGATGGCACGAACTAGCAAAGAAACTAGATGCGGATTTGAAGCGCGAAACGACCGCCACGGAAATGCTGGCCTATTGATTTTCCCATTCAGTGAGGCGCACCGGTACGCCTCGTTGCGGTCAACTTGTTAAATGGTATAGTGACTTATGGGACTTATAGAAATTAGCACCATGGCATGTTTCACAAAACAGGGAGATGAGTTCATTCACCAGATAGCAAGCCCAAAGTAGCCGATACCTTCAGCCAAAGCGTTCGAGTCAAGTTGCACATTAAGCGTTCGAGTTTCGTTGGTTTCCACCTATCAAGCAGCCTATTATTTTTACTCGTTTTTCCTGTCCTGAAAGGGATGGGAGGGCCCCACCATTTCCCTGGAGTCAATAAAAAAAATTCCAACAGTGGACTCTCCTTAATACGGAATCGCTTAACACGGACTGCCAGATAACAGGGACAAATTGCAACGTCCCATCCCAATCCAGGCGCTGCTTTCCTTTCGGTTAAAACAGACAGATTGAGCTGGCATAATGCAGTTCCTGTTAACGAAAGTCCACTGTATAAAAGCTTACTAATTACAGCTCTAAAATAGATTACTCAAATCCTAACATGTCCTCACGCCATGGAACGCTTTCCTTCTCTTTCAGATGGCAAATCCACATGGACAAGAAGCATACAGAATTTTGGCGGCATTCAAAATAGTACTGCTCATCGTTTTGAACGGGATAAGGAGATTCGGTCCCACCATATGGAAATCATGGCTCTGGATCTTTACTGGGTACGACCATTGTAAACAAAATATGGGGAGAGTGACAGGCAGACCATTCTGCACGGCAAGCATCAAAGGAAAATCTATCGAACCCTACCCGTTCAGTTTCAAGGACGAGGATGTGATAATCATCGAATACTCGGTCTCTCCCACAGGCAAGTGGACCATGGTGCCAGAAATTGGAAATGTTGTTGGAGGATTGAAGAAGAACTTCATACGGTTCCAATTGGTGCCAAAAATGATTACTCCTGGGGTTGTGTGATCCGTATTTATGCAAGACACTGATGTTCTGCACTGCCAGATTCCAGAATAAACCCAGATAACACGTTATGTTTGGCCCACATTGGATAAAGGCGGGGAACCTTGGCGGAACGTGAATGTTGGGGAAATATGTTGGCCCCATGTGGGCAGATCCCGTTGGAGATTTCGATTGAAGAACTAGGCTCTCCAAGCTGTAGGCGATGTAGGAGATGAGTGCATTTTCCCTGCGTTTCCCCACAAGTATCGAGTCAGGAGAGCAAAAAGATTGATTGATTGATTAGGCTGGACCCAAGCGGAAAGGGCAGTGGTATCACAAGTGTTCACAGACTCTTTGACTCTTAAAAAAGTAAAATAAATATAAAAAAATAGAAACAGAAGACAAAGGTATTCACCCCTTGTTTTCTTATAGTAAATAGTATAGTGACTTATAGGGATTTATAGGAATTAGCACTATGGCATGTTTCAAAAAACAGGATGAGTTCATTTACCAGATAGCAAGTCCAACAAGTAGCTGATACCTTCCGCCATAGCGTTCGAGTTTCGTTGGTTTCCCCTATCAAGCAGCCTGTTATTTTTACTGGTTCTTCCTGCCCAGAAAGGGATGGGACGGCACCTTTTCCCTGGAGTCAATAAAAAAAATTCCAACAGTGGACTCTCCTTAATACGGAATCGCTTAACACGGACTGCCAGATAACAGGGACAAATTGCAACGTCCCATCCCAATCCAGGCGCTGCTTTCCTTTCGGTTAAAGCAGACAGATTGAGCTGGCATAAGGCAGTTCCTGTTAACGAAAGTATAAGAAACTTCCTAATTACAGTTCTAAAATAGGGGACTAAAGTCCTAACATGTCCTCACGCTATGGAATGCTTTTATTCTCTTTCAGATGGTAAGTCCATATGCACAGGAAGTAATCCGAAATTTCTTGGCAATCATAATTGCTCTGGTGTTCCTTCTTAACCCTTTCGTGCATGAATTTTTAAAGCAAAACGAACATTTGCCATGTATGGTTTAACGTTTAAGGAAGTACTCTGCCGTAGTAGTCGAATGTTCTACTGCTAGAAAGCAACACTGAACAGATCATGTGTCCTTGAGTTGACTGCTCTCACCAAAAGTTTCGAGGTATGAGTACCATGGTTGAAAACTCATAATTATGGGCAAAAATTTTGCCGTCCACTACAGTGGACACCATGCACGAAAGGGTTAAGGGACTAAGGAGATTCGGCCCCACACTGTGGGAAGGATGACTTTGGGTGTGCACTGGATATGAGCATTGTGAATTTACGATGGGGAAAGTTACTGGTCGACCATGCTGCACGGCAACAATCAAGCGCAAGTCAGCAGACAGCGGAAGACGAGAAATATCTTTTTCCCTTCCTCGCATTCATGCAGAACCGTGCTCTCCCGATGGCACGAACTAGCAAAGGAACCAGATGCGGATTCCGACGATACGGTAGCCAGACGCACTCTCTCCCGGTTCGACTCGAATAAATATTAACACGTTGGCGACAATGCGTCCTGATGCCAGGATGCAGATTTTTTTTCAATGAATACCCTCTGGAACTGTTGAGAACGTTCCAGAAGATTATGATTTCGTAATTACTGATAAAAATTCAAAAAAATTCAACATTTTAAAAAAACTCGGCAAAAAAAAATGTTTTCTGGGACCATGCGTCTTGATGGCAGGACGCATTTTTTGACAAAAAAATGCGCGTGGTCCCACGCGGCGGACAAGCAAAAATAGGCTGGTCGTCAACGTGTTAAGGAAAGATGTGCGATGACGAGAGCCCGTTTACGGACGGGTGCCTTCATGCGATGATAAATTCGTCGCATGATTTCCGGCTGCAAAAAGGACAACCTGTCGAGCAGCATTCCGATTGCCCCCGTCACCTTCAACGACACTAACAGCAAAAGGGGAGGGGGAGAGTATGGGGGGGAAGGGGGTTAGATGGGGACAGAAGCTATCGGAAGGTCGACCACGCCGAGACGAGACTTACGAGGGATCGTTGACATCGCCTTACGTCATTCGAGTGGGCGAAAGAGAGAGGGAAAGCGAAGGTCACCTCTTTTTATTCACTTCTGGCTCTCTAATGAACTCGTTTCCGTCGGAACGCGTTTCGTGGGCGTGTCGTCAGACCCGGCAAGAACGGGTCGCATCACGCCCGACTCGCCACGGCTCGGCTCGGCTCGGACCCAGACGCAACGCGACCGACCCGCTCCGCACGTCTGCGCGTGAATTCCCTGTCATCGGGGGGAGGGCAGGGGGCCGTTGGAGAAGTGATTCATCGGGGCTTATCTTATCTCTCGCTCGGGGGATACGACTCCATTCGGTTCCTTTGTCTCACTCCGCAGATGAGGTCCGATCTGAGGCGATTTCCCAGCGACCCGGGGGAAGCCCGTCCCGGCCGCGAACAGGAACGGAAAAACGTCGCCGTCCAGCTCCGAGTGACCCAGTGCTCCGCCTGCAAGCGAGTGAAAGTGGATTCTTCCGGGAGCAGCAGCAGCAGCAGCAGCAGCGGCGGCGATGACACGCCGTCGCCGTCTGCTTCGCCCGTGCTCAATCCCCGCGTCGTCTTGAGGGCTCCCGTCGACCGACCCGACGCCAAATCGAGGTGAGACCCCCCCCCCCCCCTATAGTGATGGCAAAGTGGCGCAAGTGGAATATATGACATACGTGGTATTATGTATGGTCGCCCTTTTATTAATTCTTGATGTTATCTTTTGTCGTATATCTTCGTTTGAAAGTTGACAATTGAAACTTTAGATCAACGATGGGATATTTTCAGTATCTGTTGCAAAAAGTTAATATACACTCTGTCCCCCCAAAATTTTTAAACGTTTTTCAATTTGTAGCTGTTCGTAATTGGCTCAGACTACGACCGTGCACTTTTGAGAGCCGACTAATACATCAAATGAACACATTATTGTTTAGGTTATAACAAAATCAATTTCCTCATTCGATAAGTGCGGCAGCTTATTCGATGCTCGGTCGCAGCGGACCAGTGCAGCCGGCCTCACCCGGCGCGAGCGAGAGAGAACCCGCATTTGTGTCTCGATTTCGACCGACTTCGCGTGCCTGCGTGTGGATTGACGGCGGGTGCTTCGAGCACCTGTTCCGAGTGTGAAACAAGCAGGAATAATCCACTTGCGGTCGTTCGCATGTCATGTCAGCCATCACGTATGAGGCACACAACTGAATCTTGAGGGCTGCGCCCGTAAAGTCGTGGCCGCACTGCCTTGGGGCTGTCATGCTCTCGACTACCTCCTAGTATCTCAAGAACCAGTGGACGGATAATGTTATCACTTAGCTTGCATATGCTCCTTTCATGTTTTAGTCAGTCCTCTAAAATGCACAACGATATTCTGAATCAATCACGGTCAATTGAAAAATGCTCCCACATTTTTTTAAAAGACAGAGTGCACTTACATTTATTTATATATATTTCCCACTTGCGTTACCTTGCGACGACCCTGCCCGACCCCACCCCCACGATCCCCGTCTCACGCCTCTCGTCCGAACGGGACAACCCTTAGCCCTCCCTCGGAGAAAGACTCCCCGCCGTCCTCCAGAGATGGCGAGAGCAGACGACCTCCACCGACCGCCCGACCTCCCGTCTCCGATCAGATGGATGCCAAGTAAGGAATCTCCGATTCCAAGCCAAGGAATCTCCGATTCCTCTCTTTTAGTGAGCAAAAAAAGAAAAAAATAGGCTACATGCCCATTCAAGGATACAGACCTGACAAAGAACTACCAATTCGATTGGAGAAGTCAATCGTGTAGTGTAGTGTTCCCTGGCGAATAGTACTCTTCTTTTACTTTACTTTACCAGCAAAGAAATGATACGGACGAAAGGATGGAAGCTAAGGGAGAAGTGGGTGGAAGCAAGGGAAGTACATCACTAGGGGGTCCAGTGCACTTCACGAGGGTGACTTCTCTGTGCAACATCAATGTATACATCGTGTCTAAATTTTCGCTGCGATTCATCTTTGTTTCCATGGGCCCATGGTTTAATGTTTCGCTAGTGTTTCTCGATGCTTTTATGCAGGCAGTATTCTATTATCAAAATTTCATTCCATTCCTTGGTCCGCAGTCTTAATGCTTCGCGCGCTCTCTTTTGATTCATAGACAGAAGGCAGCAGGTAACTTATTCGTGTCAACCGAATGTGAACAACCGTTCTCATGTCGCGACCACTCGTGAAATTGTGAAATTCCTGAGTTATCAGAGAGAAAGCGCGCTGATGACCCCGGTATCAGTACTTCACGATTGGATGAATGGAATAGCTCAACAGTTTCATGAAGGAATGACTGGAACTGAATGAATGGAATAGCTCGAGAGCAAATTGTCGTGCTCGCACATCACGAGGTTTCTTGCGCATTCCCCCGCCAGGCGCCTCGACGAAAGCCGTCCCGCCGACAACAAGGAAGAGAGGGTCGAGATCCTGAAGGAGGAGCCGCTGAAGCCGCCGGCTCGGGATCCGAGGAGGAAGTCGTCGCTGTTCGGGAGGCTCAGGAAGTCCATGAGGAGGAAGAATTGGAAGCCGGCACGGAAGGTCCTCGACAGCCACGACCTCTCGCCGCCAGAGCAGCAGTGAGACGATGGCTTCTTTTCTTCTAAGGGGAAAAGGACGTCGTCGCGTTCTCGTTCGATGGAGACGTCCGTGAAGAAAATCGACCATTTCGATTTTAAAACGAGCGGTTACTGCTGGACTGCTCGGCCGCAACACGAGCGCGGAATCAGGGCGGCCCGAACGGAAGGAGTTTCGATTTCCTCAACGTATTATTAAAGGGGAGGAGAAAAGTCCATGCCGACTCGCTTCCTGGGTCGAGACCGACGTGTACAAACACGTATGGATGCAATAAGGGGGAGGGGAAGGGAGGGAAGGGGGATCGAGGTGTATTCCTCCCTCCGGCTATAGACGTTTCGTTTTCCCGTCCGGTTCTGAGTTCGTTTTCTCTGCTGCTCGTTTTCTCGTCCTTGTTTGATTCCTCTGCATGATCCCTTTGAATGATTCACGGTTTCCTTTATCGGAGACTAGCATCGGATTCGTCCGTTCGATCGTGAGAATGACTCAACTCGCACGAGCACATAGTTTATACAAGAGACTCAGATAAGGGAATATCCGGAAATGGTTTAGATCTGGGGCATCGACTTGGTTTGCGTCGACATTTTCATTCCAGCAATTTCCCACGAAGGAAAGGTGATACGGAGAACGATTAGAGAGGTGTGCCTGATGGAAGCCAGATGTCTCTCGCATCGAGGAGGATCGGCTCTACTGGCAGCGATCTGACTCAAGCATCTCTACCTGAGCAAAAAGCGAAATGAGAAAGTGGCATAACCGGAAACAAGATCCACATCGCATTTTAGTCTAGGAACCGTCATTTTTGGTGCAGGAGCAGCACAAGTACAAGAGAATGACGTTTGAAATTCCATTCCCATACGTTGATCTTATCTGCGTGGTGGATTTCCCTCCACCGGGCCAAGATACCGGGCCAGGTACCGGGCCAGTAGTCGGAGAGAGCGTAGACCGGTTCCTCCCGACTCGAAAATGCCTCTATTTAACGAATTACCTTTCCGATGTTACAATATTTGAGTGCCTAGCTGCTAAGATAAAAGAGGCCCAAACTATCTGCTCCAATCACTCCCAATGCGCCACTGATCCTCTTTTAGTGCCTATTCTCCCGCTAGAAGTATTAGGGTTAAGCTGATTTCCACAGAACGACCTCATCCTTCTTCCACTTCGGCGTGTGTGAGACTTCTTTGTCTCTTTCTCTCGCTCTCTCTTTCCCCGTCTCACTTGTTTACGCGAGAGGCCGTCTGGAGGCTGAAGGAAACCAGACGTAATGAACTTTCCTCACTCTCTTTAATGACGTGTTTTCCAAGACCATTCATCCTTTCTTTCGTTCGACCCGATACGCGCACGTATTGTCGACGTGCAGGACGATAGTAACTTCCAACGATCCCATGCGATCGTTGGGATCGTTGGTATACCTCCGCCTTTCAATTCATTATTCCTTCCCCATTCCTGTTCGAAGGTCACTATCCTGCAAGCACAGACATCGGTCGTTTAAACTACGACGTTGCCTCGTTGGCCTTTTTTCAGTTGGTAGTTCTCCTCAGTGAAGATAGGTGTCACTCCGTGTGCTCGTCGCTCCTTCCTTGCAGCCTTCTCGATTGTACCTTTACTTTTCCATTTGGTTCTACGAAAATAGCGTTTGCTGATGTGTTTTGCAATGGCGGCTCGTGATCTTTAGCGCTAGTAGTTCGTCTTTGGAGGCAGGGGAGGACACTGGTGTTTTCACTTACCTTGATCATGGTGCCATCGATGGGAAGGGGTAAGGAAGTCGATCCGATTTACTGGTGGATTTATCCGATGCAAGTCTATGAATGCGCGAATATAGCTTCATGTCGCGGACGTATCATGGGGGAGGGGGGAGGAAGAGAGGGCGGGGGGGGGGGAGGAGGGGGCGGGAGAGGATGAAGATCCACTCCTCGCTATCGTATCTTTGATCCTTCAACCGAACTGTCCACGTTCAATAGGGTACTGTGACAAGGGCTTTTGGCTCCAGCGGCAATTGCTGTCAGCGAAATCAGCTACTTCATTCCAACCGAACTTAGAGGCAGTCGATCTTTTCTCAGTACGTTTAGGCGTTACACGAAGCTTGGCTTGATAACGAATTTAAGTTCGATCATGCGAAGGTAAGACGCACGGAAGGCAAAATTTCAAGCCTTTCCCGGGCTCTATCACTGAGGAGTCCGTTTTAAGTGTCTGGTGGTGCAAGCGTACGAGTTGAGTCTCCGCGAAAGGTGTGAGGGGGTTGCCTATGCTGCATTTTACAATCGCATGAGATACGTGCTTCAATATTGACGTTCTTGGTTCAACAACATGCAACTTCTCGTGTTTTTAAGTTTGCTTTTTGATTCTGTGCTTTTACAAACTTCACCCTCGCCTATGCGAAGTGGGGCGATCTCCCTCCTCTGCCCCCTTGTCCCCCTGTCCCCTTGCCCCCTTGCTCCCCACCCCTTCAAGTTACCCTTTCCTCTGGCATGAAGGGAGAGCAAGTTTTCTCATGTGACGCAAAGCATGCAATTGTAAAACTTGCTTTGTGTCGATCCACCACAGTCGATTCTATTTATTTTAAAAATCGAAGAGCCAGAAAATCGTTGTCTCTACGCAACTGCAGCAAGATCATGGCTCACCTGTTCTCGCTTTCCTTCGCAGGAAAACTTTGGGCTGGAAGCCCAAGATCCCGGAAAGCCTGAGCACTTATCGGATGAAACCGGAAGGAGTCCGGGGACGAGCCATCATATTCAACCACAAAGTCTTCGACAGCAAACTGAGACTCCTTCCACGGGAAGGAACGGAAGTGGACGTTAAGAACCTGAGCCGGGTGCTGAGCGCGAGGGGGCTGCACGTCCAAGTGCACCACGATCTCACCTACAGGAAGCTCATTCGGGAATTGAAGGACAGTGAGTGTCGTTTCTTCTTAAGGACGTAAAAGTTTTTGCTATTCGAGGAGTAGGATGAACACAGAATGCCTGATTTTGAATGCATTTGTCTCGGGACGACAGTTCATGATTAGCACCGACTGCTGTTACATAAAATTCGTCTTCCTCGAGACCTCTCTCCCGTCCCGTTTTTCCCCGGCACGACTTAGTTGTCCACCACGATATAGGCGAAGTTAAACTCAAGTGACTCGGGATAGAAATCGAGAAGCCGCATTGAAATATCCAGTGACATCTGAAAGTTACACGAAGAGACAGGAAGGAGTCCCCCTCGGCGACGCAGCCAGAGGCCGAGATGGGCCGAGGGGAATGAATTTCGAGTCGCCCGACTTGTCCGGACCGAGCCTCGCGCGTCGAAACCGTACGAGACCCTTGAAGGAGTCATCTTAGCATCTAAAACGTTTCACGGTAGCAGGGATGGACCACCCATGAAATGATTACACTTGCAGAGAAATGGCGCCCTCGGGTAGCGTGAGCCGCACTATCACCTCGGTCCGATGCACCGGCTTCAGTAATTCGCACGGCAGCCTCTGGGTGCAATGCAGGCCCCCAGCCGTTTCGGCCGTGCCATCATCGAGGTGTACGGAGTGCACCTCGATGATGGAGCGCCATCCGGTGGTGCCATCTGCCAACGAGTGGAATCATTTCATCGGTGGTCCCTCCTTTGCCGCCGTTTAGCATACGGTAGTGCCAGGGTGACTCCTACACGGTGATGCAGTTTCGATGGTAGTCGGTGCATAAGGGGGCTCGGACATGTCGATCGTCATGGAAGGCAAAATGCTACGTAAGGGTTGGTTTCCACGTTGGCACTTTCGCTGGCGACCTCTTCCTTAATGGTTATTTAACCTTTACGATTTTGTGAAATTTTTTGGGGGCGGAAGGGGGTTTGATATAGGAAACATTGTACAAATTGGGGAGGACCCAGGCCTACATAGTTTTGGCACCTGTATAAGACTTGAATCTATGGCGATTTCCGAGTGCGGTGGATCACACTGGTAAAGTTTTCCTCGGTGTGTACCAAGTCCAAACTCCAATGAAGGCATCCATTTACGCTATGTATCCATGGGCGGGATCTCGACGAGGGCCTCTCCTCTTTCCGTTCCCCAGTTGCTACCGAGGAAAAAGCGTTGGCGAGCCACGACTGCTTCGTCGTCTGCTTCCTGTCGCACGGGAAGGAGGGACGACTCTATGCCAGGGACCGGGACTTCGACGAGTTGGAACTCTGGAGGGAATTCTACGGGGATCGGTGCGAGGCTCTCATCGGGAAGCCGAAGATGTTTTTCGTTCAGGTACGATGTCGTTTCTTCACGCACTTCACGTGCATCTTCACGTGCATCGCGATCTTAACTTATACGGCATCATAGTTTCCTATAGCAAGAATTGTTGCGCAATCGTGTTGGCTTCTCCATCCAACTATTTTAATGCATGGCGTGGAATGAGCTCAACTTGCCCTTTTGGTTCGTTAAACATTTACACGTAATTGGCCTGTGCCTTCCAATCTTATGGAAGACTCTTCTGCGATGAATATTCCATGAGATCGGATTCGTCTTTAGAGAGTTAGCAAGAGAGAGGGGGAGAGAGAGAGAAAAAAAAGTGGGATCTTGAATCTTTCCAATGAAAATGCAGGGGAAATTTTCCAAATCCATCGAGTCCATCCATAATACTGCTGTGACTTCATACTTCCCAACTCGCAGTCACTTCCTGAATTTCATCATTGACCACCCTTGCTTGAGCTTGAGGATGAAATTTTTGGCGCTTTTTGGGAAAACCCCCGGAAGTTTTTCGGATACGATCATCACTGGTACCGTCGTGATTTCTCGATATTCTTAATTTCTCAAGTGCATCGAAAAAGGAAATGCTGGATGTGGGCGAATGGACGAGTCCTCGTCTCCAGTGCAAGGTCCAATCTGAAATCGACGCAACATCAACTGAAACGACATGACTGAACAGGATATCGAAAAAAAAATGCATGCAATTTTTTAAGTACGCGATGTACGCGTTCTCATCCAGCTCTCATTCGTGAAAGTGATCTAGTGCAGGAAACATTTAAAGCGATTTACGCCTCAAACTCTTGTTGCTGCAGTTTTTCTTGGGATGCGATCCCGCTATGGGCGAATCCCGCTGGATCCCGCAAGAGCCTTACGCAATTTTTTACCGAAAGGTTTCGGACATACGGTTCGTTATGGTTTATTTCTCATCCGAACACGAGCGGATATTGGTTTCTTTTCACTCAGGCGTGCAGGGGACGCACTCCGGACTCAGGAGTGAAAGGAAAGCACGCGAGGCGCGGGTGGTATCCTCACCACGACACCACCGACGGCGAAGGCGGCGGTCACCGCGGCGAACACGGCGACTATCATCTTCCCACCCACGCCGACCTGCTCATCGCTCAAGCCTCCTACGAAGGTGAGCGGCAACGTCGTCCGGTCGACGTCCGTGCAGTCGACGCGAAACGACTCGTTCACACTTTCGTTCGCCCTCAGGTCAAGTGGCATGGAAAAACGAGGACTTGGGCTCCTATTTTATCTATACCCTGTGCGAGGTGATGGAGCAGCACTCCGAGACTCTGGACGTGCTGAAGATGCTGACCATGGTCTCTGAGATCATCGCCCTGCAATTCAAGTCCAGCCACGACGAACCAGAGTACCACGACAAGAAGCAAATCCCTACCATCCGAAGCACGCTCATCAGCGAAGTATATCTCAAACCGATTCCTAGACATTAGGATGGCGCGTATGACATTCCTGTCCCTCCCGATGTGTTCATTGCTATGAAATTTGAGAATTTCACTTTTGTTTGAGTTCCGCGATGACGATGGAAAGGCACATGCTACGAAAGGTGCACTTCGTCCAGATCGTTACCGATAGTTAGAGCACTAGACCGTCCTTAATGAAGACTTTGTGCAAAGAATTAGCTCTGATGGAGTAGGAGCCTTCACGTGTCAACTATCCGCAGCTGTGTAATCCTACGTTCTTGCTTGGACCTATTTTCTCGTCCACCGTTTGTCCTAACTTGTATGGAGATGCTTAATTAAGATTTGGAAATACGATGCATGAGGTGGACAGAGAGAATATTATGATTTCTTTTTTTTCCTTGTCATTTCTCTTTGTGTGCGATCGAGCGGCACTTCGAAGTCAGAGCATTATCGAATAGTACGGAGTAGAAATAACTTTTCACCTTCCAGTGTGGATGGGTTTCATGAAATCCAGTTCGAGACCGAATTTTTTGCGGAAAGCCTCAAAAGACCCCATATCTCTAAAGGAAATCTCTGAGGGATTTGCAATCCCGTCGCAGTTCTCCTTCCAAGCCTGTGTCTCACATTCAATTGTGAGATCCTCGGCCCCCCCCCCCCAAAAAAAAAAAAAAATTACATTTTTACGATTATTGAATGAAGAGTGAAGGGTGATGATTTCGGGATGCGACAGGCGGTTCATCTTCGTAGTCTCAATCGAAAGGGACTTTTTCATTTACTCTCCTTTCCTTTTTATTATTTTTTTTTTCGCGTTCCTTCCTTTGCATATTCATTCACTGCATATGGGTCACAGAGGAGTCATGGTGATGAAACTTGACCTGTCAAACGAGTTGGCTTTTGATGGCGGCGCATCACGAGAAATAAAAAATACCGTTCGAAAGTCGTGTTTGACGAATCCTTACTGCGTCTTCGCCTTTGACAAACTCTTCGTGCCACCCGGGGGGAAAGGAACAGGTCGAGAACCATACTATTCAGTGGGTGCATGCAGTAGTAATCTGTGTCCTGACTTATTTTCACGGTTCAAGGTTTGGGCACGGGAGCTGCCGTGAATTCTTGCCCATATCGGTGTCCAAAGCTGAAGTCGTTAATAGTGGGGAAAAAAAAATTTTTTTTAACACCTCTAGGGATCGCCCCTACGGTGAAACTTCAGTCCATCACAACTGAATGCGCCCACTATTTCCTCAATGATGAACGATAACGTTTTCGACCTCTAAAAAGTTTTATGATAAGAAACGCAAAGTGGCCTCAAGGTTAAGGGACTGTGTGCAAGAGATTGACTTGGATCACCGAACTGTGTACGGTATCAACGCATTATACGGATATTCCAGATGTGCCTGAACACGGTAGAGTCCCAACGACAAGGTTTCGAAAACCGACGACTGAATAAAGGCCTAAGCATTCCGGAACAAATGGTTCAGACTGGCGGGTGAATGTCAACGAAACGAGCACCAAAAAGGTCGTAACCCTCATGAATCTAAATCATCGTCGATGAACTGGGAACTTGAATCGGTTTCCCCTGACGGAGGCGTGACCGTCCGAAGCATATCCACGAGCCCATGAAGCTCGAGAGTTTACGAACGACTTTAAAATCTCAAAGAAAATGTTTCTCATGAAAAAGCGATACATCGATCCGCAATTTTGTATAGACACTGGTTCGGCTGTTTGACCTGGTTTCAGATGACTTTCGGACTCGAGCAGATCGATCCTGTCGCCACGGGGACCATCTGCCGTCAGAGAAACAAGCCGGGTCCGTCTGTAAGCGACAGAGGACGACAGGGATTGTCGAGGCTCCAAATGCAGAGGCACGAGAAAGGCCACATTCAGTTCCCCTCGGCTCTTGCGCAGTTTTACAGTAACCGTAGCAAGGAAAAAAGGAGAAATGCTGACGCGGTTGTCTGCCATGTTCTTTTTTTTGTTTTTATTGGCTTCGAACACGTGGCTTAGCCTCGGAAAATTCCTTCCATGATGCCACGCAGGAGGCACTGATGACAGCGAATGGGTTCACGGTCGGACTCGAATACCTGCTAACCAACGGTGGCAGTTTCAGAGTCTGGCAGATCCGACGCAGGCGCGAGACTTTCACGCCTGCCTCTGATAAATGAATGACAGTCACTTTCCTGTCCGCTTCTACAGAGATTCCAGCGATAACCCGAGAACCCTCGATTGTTTCGTGAAGCAAGGACCACCTCCCGAGGCACTTAATGATGTCTTTCAACAGCTCCAGGGATGCATGTAAGCGAAGCGACGACGCTCCATGCACAGTCATTTCGGCCTCTGAACGTCCTTTTTGCGATCGATTGTGGATCGCGCTCTGCGGGGGAGGGGAGGGGGGGGGGGGAGAGAACTTCCTTTCACTAAAATTTCAGGACCAGCCTCAACAAGTAGGGATCAGACAAGGTTGAAAGGGCAGCCTTCTTGCTCAATATACCAGGAAACAGTTAAAATTAGAATTCGTCAGGAGGGAAAAAAAAGTCTGAATCTCTACCTGCCTCTTGAGATTTGTCCAACGTACGAACGCTACAGGTGAACAAGTGAAAAAAGGCTCAGAAAGAAAAACATTGAAAATTTTTTCAAAAATACTTTCATTCCATGTAGCGAAGAGCGCATTCGATATGCACATGTACTGAACGTGCGCCTGACAAAGCAGAAGAAAAACCTGCACCAAGATATGGTAGTACAGAAGTATACAAGCAGGAACTTGGAACCAATACGCTTGGTTACTTTTTGCGCAAACGGACAGCAGAATCGTTAAAGCTTCGTGTCAAGCAGTTCTTCCCCGATTTCACTGGTCGATACCTTCTAGAAGCAATTCCTTATGCTCTTGAACCATCTTCAACTCCTTCTCTCTCGGCTCCAGACCTGAGCAAGTAAAGGATTTTTGAAACGGTCCGTGCAATTTCCAGAAAGGAGTCGTTGAAGGACACTCAAAGGACACTCAAAGGACTCTCACCGAGGAGTCGCCAGAGGAATTCCAGCATCAAAGCCACGTTGAGTCTCGCAGCCACGTCGTGGTCGGTTTTGGAATTGGGCCCTATGATGAGGTGGGATGCGAGACGAGAGTACCAGGCCACGTTCGACATGAAAGGGGTGTCCACTTGATTGTGATGCACCGTTCCCCTGCACGACAGCCGTCGTTCATCAGTAAACGCGCCTCGATGGCTGCTGCTTCTTGCACTCACTTAAATTTATCGATCTGAGTGTCCTGAAAACCGGTTGTCGTAAAAAATAATTTACGACTCGAGCGCGAAGCACTGAACTTTTTTTGTGAGGTCCTTCCTGCCGTACTTTCGAGTGCTGTTCGGTTTCGTGAAGTCGTGCGGCCTTGATGCCAGGATCACGTAAAATAAGCTCTCTTATGAGAAACTTTTTCAAAGATCATGAAATTGTAGCAAGAATTACTGAGGCTAAGGGTGTCTGTTTCTATGATGGAGTTTTACATTCCTCGGATCCAAACGGATAACGGAGAAGAGAGGAAGAACACATATTCAAACTGAAAATTCGGATTCCACCGATCTCTTTTGCTCAAACAGAAGTAATCTGCATGTTTGCCTTGATCTCTCTCTAGATATGTCTACGGAATGGGTTTCGAGCGTTTGACGAAGCTACGCAACTTGCCTATAATCCTGCTGTGGATCGTCCGTCATACACCTAAACAGCCAAGCCCTCAAGTTCAGTCCAAAACACTCAAAATTGCTTCAGCATTTTCGGATATTATTGCATGGAGGAGAAAAGCGTGTATTGGCTGCGTAAGAGATTCTTGGAAGAACATTCCCTATCGTTCGATTCCTAAAATCTAATCAGATCCACTCGACAATTTGATCTCGAAATGGAAAACATGAATGGATTGTGATATGGCAGTCGAACGCTTACTGGATCGTCACGACTTTCTTCGTGCACGCGCCATTGAGGCACTTCTTCATCGCTCTCAGGTTCGCATTCGTCTGGAATGCCTCCATGTTGATGAAGAGGACTGGCTTCTGGATGGAGCGAAGAATCTCCTCCTCCTTCTGGAGCGGGTACATCCAGCTGTCCAGTGCGATCCCGGCCCTGGAAGACAGACACGGAGAGTGTGGGTGCGTCGAGTCGCGAGGTCCGCGAGGTTCGGATGGGAGGGTTGTCCAAGGAAATCAGCGGAATCGCGATGATTTGCATTTTCTCGATGGGCGTCTGCGTGGCTTAGTTGCGGAAGCGCTATACGGGTTGCTTCGGTGTATCTCATTTTTTTCTTTTTCGATTTGATTGCATGCAGTCATGGAGTTCGCGGCTTTTTGACTTGATTCATGGGGGGGGGGGGGGGGGGGGGGGGGGGGCAAGGGGGGTCGNGTGTGTGGGGGGGGGGGGGGGGGGGGGGGGGGGGGGGCATAATGTATATAGAAGTGAAATGAGCCACAGAAAGGATTACGGTAGGATTGAAGCATGTGACAAGTCCTCGCTTTCACTTCAGATAAAGTAACCTGATTTACATTATGAAATAAAAAGGACCATCCGACTTCACTCTTTATGGACAGTCTCTAGCCACAAAAGCGTCTGCACTGCCGTCCTTATGTGGATGATATCAGATTGCGGCATCAAAAGGGAAAGGACATAACCTCTACCTCCGTGATGCTTGAGAATTACGCAAAGGCTTTCTTTTGACATCTCGACACACGTCTGCTAGTTTGTGCCGGTTCTCCTCTTTGGCAGGAGACTTCCCTATGAAATCCACCAGATTCTGTGTTTCGACACCGAGCCTTCGTCATCGTGTGGAGAAACAACTGCCTAAAGTCACCCGTATTTTATCCCACCCCATGGACGCAAAAAAAAAGCGAAATAAAAAAGTATTGTAAAATATTAACTTTGATAAAGGAAGAATGGAGATTGAAGAACTTTCCTCCGCGCGAACCACCCAACAATCCCACGCACGCGACCTCTAGGCATCCAATAAGGCACACTCTTTCTCCCCGCTTCTTTACCCTCGATATCTCCCATGATTTCGTCGGTGGGTCCATCCTCTATGAAGGGCACATTCAAAGATGGCTCGCTATCGGACTGGATCCAGTCTGTGTCATATGCAATGATTTCCAGGCACCTAAATGCAAGTCTATGTAATCTGAATTCGGCCTCCTGAGTTCGTTTCAAGGCTTGTCGCGCCTAAATAAATGGGGGAAAAGGGAGAAGAGGGAAGACCTGAATTTCGGCTCCTTGGTGAGACTGACGAGGGTTGTAGCGCCTCCGAAAGAGTGTCCTGACACCACCACTTTCTCCATGTTGATCTCCCCCTGAGAACCAAAACAAAAGAGAAGTAGAAAAGCATTTATCCGGCCTAGCAGACTAAGAAAGCAATCGAAGTCCATTGAGGAATTTTTGTCATTATTATAGATTTCGGTCGCCTTTCAATTGATGGCTTCCGTTACTTGGCATACATTTGGCCTTATTCTTCAATGTAAGTCGAGACCCATTGAATATGATTCAAAAGAAGGCTTTAAAAAGGAACGGAACCGTAACCACGGCAAGAAAACCGTTCACCATCGATGCAAACTTTTTTTTTCGGACTTCGATCGTTTTCCTCGTTCCCGGCCAAGGATTCAATTTACCCATTCAGAAGTATTCCGTATTAAAACTGCTAGCTGAGGGGAAAATGTCTGCTGTGAGTTTCCCACCCCAGAAGTCCAGCTGCACCATTTAAATTTAATTCGCAGATGACATGACACGAGAGGCGAGACCGACGCCATGCTCTTCCCGACCGGCATTCCACCGGCTCTGCCACTCCGTTCCAACTAACCTGGATTTGCTTCAGGGTGGATATGTCGGACGGAAGCGAGAGGGAAGAGAAATCCAGGTTCCCGGAGTTGAGCTCCTCCATGAAGCGGAGAACGTTTCGCACTTCCTCGGACCGCTGATGCACCTGCGAGGCGGGAGGTGGGAACGAACAGGATCAAGTCGGGGAGGTCATTTCGGGGTCGGGGAAGACTCGATGGATGCTTCTCACCTGGGCGTTGCGCAGCTTCAGTTCGGATTCTCCCTTCTCGAGAGTTCGGTATGGGATCCATGCGGTCTCTTCGGTGCGTCATTTGAAAAAGAAAATGCAGAACACAGTTCAAGTCATGACCTAGAGGCACCGTTGCAACCGGGCTCTACTTAAGGTCTGCGCATTACGTGTTTTGCAAAGAAAAGCGCCTGGTAAGGCTGCTTGATTCGGGCTCGATTTTCCTTCCATCCGTCTTTGACATTTCATGCAGGAAAGATAGAGGCTCAGTCGCGTCCCGAGAGTGTTCTCAAACTCTCTTTGCAGTCGATGAAAAAAAAAAAAAAAGATCTGGAGTTCACAGGGAAGCAGGAAGCAGCCTAATTGCTTGGCTTTTCCTTCTCTTTGTTTTTTGCGTTCACTTGAAATTCCAGTCAGTATTGCTGCAAGGCAGCAATAAATTTTTTTAAGATAAGGAAGTTATCTCTCAACGTGAGAGCAGAATTTCGTGGGAGTGAGATTGCTCGGGATAAAATGAGGGGAACACTCGAGCCTCATTTTTTTCTTAAAATGCGCTGATGATCTGTTCCCAGTGAGACGTAGCGTGCGTGTTCACTTTCACGAATATGACAGTGAAGATGCAGAGACACTATACGACCCCGACATTAACCTAGTGGCATCTTCAGATGCCATTTGGTTAATCTCGTGCTTTCGAGTTTGATCCCACCTTCAGGGGGGGATGAGGGTTCAGAGGATTCAGGTACTAACTGAAAGGTACATGCATTTATGCAGTCAGAAAACGAAGGAAGAAACCTTGCGTCGTCAATCCCGACTGACGCCAGCCACCGACCTTCGTGCAATCCGCCCCAGACGGATGAGCCAATCTCGGCTGACCTGGCGCGGGGACCTCCAAGAGAGACATCCCGACAGCTGAATTTTAAAAAAGCATCTCGCCCATTTTCCTCCAGCGTGCATATTCATGACTATCGTAGGCTCCATCTCGAAATTGCAACATGCTTGCATTAGATTAGCCCATCGTGGCGTTTTTCACGTTCTCGCGTGAACGAAACGGAGAAGTGCGTCGACGATTTCCTCCTTTTCCATTTGCGGATATTTCGTTCAGAGCAATCATTTAGCAATTATTAAGGATTGCTTCCATCATTTCTTCGTGGCGTAAAGTTACTTTACACGATTTAAAACCTGTTTTGTCTGTAAGGGTTTCGGCAACCACGTGCATTCGACGCCGTGGCCCTTAAAAAAAATCACGTCTGTGACTTATGAAAATCACCCTGTAAATTTGGGACACGGCGCACGTGAGCATAAAAAATATCAGGTTTTTCATTCCTGTGACTTGTCCATCACGTGTCCAACATACACCCTACTTCATACTCGAGACTCCCCCCATAGGTGACTCACACCACACCCTTCTACACGTCCAATCCCATGCAAAGGTCTCAAATTCACACGGCACATTGGCATGACGTGGAAGCCCGCGATTGGGCATGAAGACTTGTTGGCGAGGCAGCTAAAATTCCGCCTCTGCCATCAAACAGTCATGATCATCGAAAAAAAGGCGCCGTTTTCTTCCCTGAACGGCTCGGTGGCCTTCAGAGCTTCGCAAAAATTACGCCCATTTCCGCTCGAGATTTCACCAAATTTGGCTCAAAATTCAAGAGTCCCTCCGTAGGACCAAATCGCTTAAATTTGGCGAGGAACTCCTCACAGTGGGATAGAAAACGTGGGACGAACCTGCCCATATGCGTAGGAACACAGAACACGAATGCTACAGTTTCACATCCTGCCTCCTTTTCGGAGGTGGGATGGAAGGTCGTGGCTAGCTGGAAGTAAAAACAGGAACATCTCCATAAACGTAGTACTTCTAGGACAAAAGAAGTACTAAAGGTCGCGGATGCCTAACCTTGATAGATTGAGACCTTGACTATAGAATCGAACGTGTAACATTTGAATTTCACGTGCAAGCGTGACCATGAGTCACGAAAACAGGAAATTGAATTGGGCTGCACGTTATTTATGTACGACAAGTTATTAATCCGATGAGCGGATGATCCGCTCATCGGATTGCGTTGATTCTGTTTAGCGCTGCCCGCAAGAGCCCCAACAAAGTGTTTTATTATTATAATTATTATATTTATTTTAGTTTCATTGCTCGAGGGAAGATATATTGCAGACCGTTTTCAGCGGATCCGTCGTGTGCTTCCGCCGTCATGCAGGAAGATCCGTCTCTGCAAAGAATAAAGGGGAAATTCGAGTCTCTCACTTGCAAAACAGAGGGCCGAATTTTCAGAGCACGGTTTGGCAACTAATTACTCGCAGTGGCAATCTAATCGCCCAACCCGGCAAGGTTTACAATTTATATTACCGCTCTGGGGCATTTCGGCCCCGAATGGTAATATAAATTACTGAGAGCATTCATCAGCCAGGGGTTGCACAACTTCGCAACCGAAGCCGTGCTCCATAACGACGGTGTATTCATTCTGGCCTCGAACAGTTTAGAGCGGATTGAGAAAGAATTCCGATCGATTATTAATCTCAACCGTAAGAATTTCGAATAAAAAAGGCACTCCCGAGAACTCAGGTTCGAATGGCGCCCGAAGAATCTAAATGATCGGAAATGTGCCACGATATTGCATGTGAAAATCGGCAGGGCGAGCTCTTCCATGGCATGTCTAATTAAGATATGCATCATATAAATGTATGTATCATATCAATGTATGTATCATATCAATGTATGTATCATGTCAATGTATGAATCATATCAATGCATGAATCATATCTAGGTCGTCTCCTTTGTATCATAAAGCAAAAGGAGGGTTAGTTTCTATCCCACGCGCTTTTTGGGTACTACAAGTGTATGAAGGCACACTTAGAAACATACACGGTCTGAAGGTTTTCACTGGAAACATTACATAAGAAACTTTTGTTTTTTGTTGCAGTGTTCCGAACAGAGACCGGTCTTTCCATGTCAAGGATAAGGTTCTTACCCGGCCAAACTTATTCTTCCCTATCCTTGGACGAGGAGCGAATAAAGTAAATTCTCTTTGCTGTGTACCACAGACTGTAATTTATTTCTTTGTCATAATGCACCTATTGCAAGAGCCCTTTTCCTTGCCCTTTTCCCTGCCCTTCCCCCCTCGAGACGAGCGATATCTATTCCCCGATCTACACGGCCCCATCGCCGTTTCGGCCGTCCCTAATGGGCCGCAGACGGACGGTGAAAGTCCACTCGGGGTTCGTCCGGAGTGAAAAATCCTCCGCGCTTCCTCGAGTGGCATTCGGCGTCGTTTCGCTTCGTGCGCTTCCTTGTATTTTGCTTTTCACAACCGATTCTATGACCTCGAACGTGTTCGAGGTGGAAAAAAAAGTGGTCCGATTAAATCGTGAAAGCCTCTCTGCTGGCCTACTATTCGCTTTTTTTTGTGAATGCTATAATTCGAGGAATGCGTGAAAACTACAAATCGATATCGACTTTCATACTGCCTTTTTCGCTTTAAATCGTCCTGCCAGAGTGAGAAAGTTGCCAATCACTGCACACTTTCACTCGGGAGAGAGACCGATCGCCACTTCCGGAAAAGGGATTTTTTCTTCTTCTTCTTCCTTCGCATCCCGCTCACCTGTGATCCAGCGCAGCAACGAGGAATCCGTGGGAAGCGAGCTGCATGCAGATGTAGGAGTAGCTGCAGCGGCACATGCCGAGGCCGTGCGAGAAGATCACGAGCGGGTATCCCCCCGAGACCTTCTTGGGGGCGCGGTTATGGAACATGGGGATCCAGAAGTCGCCTGCAAAATCGGCAACATGATGGCAACATGGCAACGCGACGGCAACATCGTGGCGACGGGGTGGCAACACTTCCTCGTTCGCGGGCTAAGCCAGCCGTCGCCGCGGAAAATCATTAATTTGTCGCGGAAAATCATTAATCATTACTTATGAACACGTCAAAAGTGACCTCGGAGAAACAGCAGGAAGCAGATGAGCATCGGGGTTGGGTACTTGGGTTGGGTACTTCCGCAGCGAGTATCTTCCGTGTGGTCCTACCTTGGACGCGAACGAAGGACTGAACCTACGATTTCCATCGGCTAGCATCATCATCATTATAGTCCTCTGGGTTCTTGACGCGACTATAATAACTTCTGAATTTTTTATGACTAATAACCTCTGAATTTATTCCAGAACAACCATCAATAACCTCAGATCCAGGGGGGAGTGGGGGGAAAGTCATAGGAAAGCCAAAGGGTGAAAAGCCATTGGCGCCTGCGGCGAGCACGAGACTCTGGTCTCAAGAAGTGTCTCTTAATAAAAGCAGAAGCAGGAGCAAATGTTGAAGAGATTGTTGAAGACTGTTGAAGATGTCGAGAGAAGAGACACATTTTTATTCCATCTCTATTTACAGATAATTTTTCCCACTGAAGCCCTAGGGAAGCAATCTCGTTGAGCCTACACATTTTCGATGTTTCCTTGAACCCCATAAAAAAAAATTTACCCTTTCGTTCATCCGAATTTCACTGCTTTTTCCCCTAATCTTTACCATCTGACAGGTTGAGAAACGGGGGGAAAACCGGTCTTTTACTTCAGTTCACCGTCCCAATTTCACCTCTGGGAACTTTCTTTTAAGGGATGCAGACATCAATTAAGAATTATTCCATCGTAATCTGAGGATCAAAAGCGGGAATTCGAACCAGAAGGGATCGAATAAAGAACCATCTTTCCCATTTTTGGTTTCCACGTATTAAGGTACATCGACATCGAGGAATCGAGGAGACGTCCCCCCCCCCCCCCCCCCCCCCCCCCCCAACGCGGGGATTTCTTCAATTTCTGCAATCCCTTCTTCAGCGTTGTTAAAGCGTTCGCACGTGAACGGCTGAGACGTGTGCGATCGAGTCTTTCCCTTGCGTGTTCCTGCCACCGACGCCAGTCTCCAGCGGTGATGAAATAGTGGGCAATCGTCGCCCCATAGGGCGACAATTTAGGACGGTTCCGTTCTCACGTGTGGGAATCAACGTTTCCCAACCCAAGATTCTCGGTGCTGCCCGGCGATTCGACGAGCCGGGACGCAGCCCGAGGGGGTGGACCCCCCTCCGCCGCGGGTCGCGGCCGCGAACGACCGCGAACTCGAAGCTCACCGATGCAGACGCGGTAGATGAGATGCATGACGGACGGCCAGACCCCGACGAACGCCGAGTATCCTTCCACGTACTTGTTCACCTCCGGCAACCAGTGCGGCCATTCCTCCTGTGCAGACTGGAAAAAGAGATCGCCGTTGTGATACACCAGGCTATTCTCCGCGAGCGATGAATACATTTTGATCCGACTGAAATCCACCGACGTACAAAAAAAAGTCTGATTCTGGCCACCGACTGGAACGCGCTTAATATCGAACACGGCATTCGCGAAGAGAGCCTCCGAGGCACCAAAGTGAGATTTCACTCCGAAGCGACATCGTCGGCGTTGTTGAAATCCAGAGAGGTCTCGAACCGCAGCAATGCGGAAGGGACTCGAGTGGTTGACAAGTCCCCGCTAAAGAGAGGCCATCCCCCCCCCTTCCCTCCTCTTCAATGCGATTCACACAAAGAAACGCAATGCAAAGAGAGCCTCGAAAGAAAGGGCTTTGCCTTCCCAAAAGGCATTGACCGATGAAGGAAGATGAAGAGAAAGTACAACTCGTCGACCCGGCCGGAAGGTCTGCCCGAGGCCGATCCTCATAAAGACCCAACAGAGAAACCGAGTGAGAGTGAGAGTGAGAGAGAGAGAGAGAGAGGGGGGGGGGGGAATCCTCGTTTCGTCGGTGCGAATTGAAAGTGGACTCACGAAGATATCGGGGCTGTCCTCGTCCGTCGGATAGTAGAGTCGGAGCAGCAGCCCGTCCAACCCTTTTCCTTTCTTCAGCACGTCCACATGGGAGACCATGTACGGACCTGTGCACGAAACAGCGGAAGAGTTGTTTTTTTATTTCCTCACCGAATTTCAGAGGTAACGATGCATAAAATAACACCCTCACCGCAATCGGTTGCGAAACCTCGATCATTATATTGCGCCACGAAAACAATTTCTCAAAGGCGTGAGGCCGTAGCAAATCTCGGATGTGCTTTCGGGACCGCAATGCGCCGCTTCGTCGTGCCATTCGTCATCGTCTTACCGCATTTGGCACGAGCCCAAGCCGTCGTTACCGAGTACCCCAGTTTGATTATGATCGATCCACTTCCTTTCTCGGTGACAACAATGACAATTCCTTTTGTCCGAAGCGATGTCCGACGCGATGACCGTTAACGACGGACCTCGGAAAGCAACAGTTCGCAGAATTTGCCCCCATCTGAGGTGAAGACTTCTGCCCCCTCCCCGAATGAGGTTTCTGCCCCCCTCCCCCTCCTCCCCCCCCAACCGCTCAAACACGGATATCCCGCGGTTAAAACCGCCCGACGTGCAACTGTCGTGCACCGTACAAGTGATCCACGCCACCACAATCGCGCGGCATTCGGTTCGATCATCGTTTCCCCCTCGAAGAACGGCGTGCCAAGTATCGGCATTCGACCCGTGCATGAATAATTCATTAATGCGTTGCTGCAAGTCGCAACGCTGGAATTACAAATCATTAATTTAATCATAATTTACCATTAATTTTAGTCGTTAAGTGACAGACAACGGACTTCCTCCCCCTTTTGATCCGATGCATCCAGGTAATTAGGTTATGCATACTCAGAATGGAAAGTGGGGATGAGACGGCTTTTTTTTTTCATCCCTCGATCCGCCATTCTTTCATCCTTGAAAAGAAAAAAAAAGTCTCTGAAGAAAGCCTTTCCCTCTCCCATCAAATTTTTTTTTCCTTTGCGACCGAATGATGGTCCGACCCTTTCGCCCGACTCCACGTCCAGATGACGACACGGCATGACACGAGTTTGTGCCCTTACACGGGAGAAGCTACACGACGAAGATGGCAGCGAATCTCGCATCCAGATGGGCGAAAACGAAACGAGAGTGAACCTTTTCCTTAATTGGGGGGAAGGGGGGGGGATCAAGGGGGAAAAAGAAAGGAGATCTCCCCGAGTTCTCCTTCGCTCGATCCGAGCTGGTCGAATGCCCGCAAGTAAAAGAGGAGACGGATCAACGAGGTCGGACCGGCCCGGATCGAGTCCGTCGCCTCGTTCGTTCCATTACCTCCGGCCCGGAAGAATCTCATTTCTGACTCGCGTAACGATGAGAGCCTTCAACCCAACCCGCAACTTCGAGTCAAAAATAAAAAAGGAGTTCCACGAACCGGCGTGCACCGACACGATCGATGGCGCACGCACGACACGGCCAATCAACTGCTGGACGCGTGCGGCTCTGCAAAACGTATCATAAACGTATCCGTGGGGAACCAGCGCTCGTTCAGACGGCCAAGTTTCGGCGGGGCGGGGCCTCAGAGGGCGCCGACAGTCAAAGCGTTATACGCTTCCGCATCCGACCCACCGACCGTTTTGCGGCCGGATCGGCTCGGACGTCTCGCGAGTTCGAGGGGTCGCCGCGTCGTGGTCCCTTTTCGATTCAAACGGCGAGAAAAGCAAGAGATAAAACCCAATCCAAGGCATTCGTTTATTTTTAGGGCTTCACAGGGAATGGCATCGACTCAGATTAATTCAGTCTCACGCTCTAAGTCCAATTTATTCAGGTTGATTGGATCTCATGGAAATTTTTCGTAATGGTAGAGGAGTCAACATTTTATCGAGTTTATTTTAAACTTGAACTGAAAAAAAAAATATATATATATATAGAGAGAGAGAGAGAGAGAGAGTTGAAAAACTACGATATCATATTATGCAAGCAAAGAATTGACTGGAGAAAGTAAATTTGAGGAGACTAGGCATTCATAAGCAAGAAAACTGACAAGAACACGAAACCCTTGTGACAAGAGCAATTTTTCAAGGCGAACGATGCAGGCTCCCCCCCCCCCCCCCCCCTCCCCCCCAAGACTCAAGACAAATAACCCTTTCAAGCGGCTCCAAGCGGCTCCTCCCTTTTCCGATTTCGTCCGCGCCCTTCGAATGAACGATACGAAAAGACTCTTCCATGAAAAACGACCGAATTTAATTGACGGAGAGAGAGAGAGAGAGAGAGAGAGAGAGAAACTCACGAACTTGAGAAAGAACCGGTTCCTTTTTGGGGGGGGGGGGGGGAAATCTGGCACTGGAAATTTGGGATTTTTTTTCCGCATTCGTCGTCGTACGACATTTGGAATCTCATTTTCGCCTAGGAGGACCGAACCTTCGCGCGGCGGGTCGTCGCTGCGTCTTACTCGTCCGTCGAACGTGGCAATGAATTTTGCATCGGAATTCATTGCCATCTTTGATTTCTTTCATCGATCTTTCGGACCGATCCAAGCGAATCTTCATTTCCGGAATCATTACGAAACTCGATTTAAGGGTTTCTTTCACAGGCATTCCTTCAACGTTCCCTTCAACGGATTGAACGTTCTCTTCTAAAAGTCGAACTATTGCGTGTTATTTTGGTGGTGGCTCCGAAAGGCCCGACCGCTGGAAACTCGAATGATCGAGCTTAATGAGGGACAATAACACGTGATGAGCTCGTTCTAGGACGAGATAATCGAGAAGTACTTGAAATTCGTGCAAATTAAAACGTCATCCCACGTGACTCCCTCGGGATGATTCCAAGGAAAAAATATGAATTTAGTCGTTTAAGATGACTCGACACTGACCTTCGGGGAGAGGAAGATGAGGCTTCACGAATCCGTTCTCGCCGTTCGCCATGGTTCGCTTCACGCTTGCGGGGCGGGGTGGGGCAGGTGGAGCAGGTGGGGCTTAATTCTCGCTTCCTGGGTCGTGACGGAATCCCCCCGAATGCGAGAGGGCCGAGTTCCTTTCTCTTTCCTGCTGGGAACGTAGAATGCCCACGACGTGAAGTCCAAAAGTCAGGAGTTATGGGGATTTTTAAAGGAGTTATGAGAATTTATGTTCGCGGGAACATAACTCTCCATCGGGACGGCGGTCGGCACGGAGGCAACGCGAATGAACCCCCTCGACTTTCACGCCAGCGATGAAGAGCGGGAAGATCTGGCCGGATGCCAGGATACCCATCGAGTAGAAAAAAATGAGAAATGCCGAATCGCGGCGAGGTGGCGAACGGATGAGCCAGGAACGAGGCGGTGGGCTCGTCGTCGCCTTTTCCGCGAAAAATCGAAAAAAAAACAAACGAGCGCGTCATTCCCCTCTCTCTCGGGAGACCCCCGCGTCGCTTTACGATGATATGCACGTATGAAGTGGGTACAATCACCTTATCGACATGCTCGAGGAAAGGCCACTCGAGGAGAGGAACCGGATCGCGAATGCGAGCCAGATAGCGAAGGACGGATCTCGAGTTGATGTTCCTCTCGTGTCACACTTATCTCCCGCATTACTTCGTAGTTCATGGCTAGTGATGATGAAGACCGACACGAGACGTCGTGATGTTGGCTCGAATGTTACGACCCGCCGTCCGCGATCCGGCACGTATTCGCGATCCAACTCCGCCCCTCTAGGCGCGTCCGCAAAACAAGCCGCTCGGAACGTGAAGGGCACCGATGACGTACTAAGGGCGTTCGCGATACCAGCCAGCCTCACGAGCCGCGACAGAACGAGGAAGTTGAACGAGGAAAGAAACCGTGACTTGAGGGAATCAAACGAGGCTCGAGGGAATTTTGCGAACGTGACGCGACGAAACCAGCCGACTTTGACCGCGAACGCGCCTCGTGCCTTCGCGTTGCGGCAAGCCCCTTCTTGAGTCTCGTCTTCCGATCTTCGTTGCAGAGAGTCGATCGAGTCCTGTCAATTCCTTATCTTGGTCAAATACTGATAGTGTTTTTTTTTTCTCACGATGAACGGAAATGTATATGATCCGAATATGCTCCATTCGAGAGAAGCAATAATGCCTAATCATGCCATGCCCAAGAAAAAAAGGCCACATCATGCTCTAAAAAATATCGGTGTCCTCCGATAATGCCTACGTCATCATTCATCCACCGGCCTCGACATTCTAAATACGTTTAATCTGTGACATTTTTAAATGTCAAGGATCCAAATGTCGTTTTAGAGCTGAAATTCGCCGAATGACACTGGGCCGGAGAAGAAAGTTTCGCTTCCAAGAGCGCCTTAATTCTCCCACCTCGTTCCTGTTCGCGTCGTCATAGAAATCCACGAGGAACGAGCGGCGTGGAGCAAGGGTGATTTTTCCGAGGGTGATTGCTATGTTCCATCTGGAACACCCGTGCTTCGTATCGCTGCATTGTCATGGTGCGAAAGATAAGAATCGCAGATGTTGAAAACTGCGAACCTGGCATCCCGAAACCGCGAAAGGGGACATTCCAGATGTCACGTCTACGGTACATGATCGATGAGAAATGTCTGCCTCGTTTTCTCGCACACCTGAGTCGTTCACCCCGATGGTCGAGATTAGAGAGTAAGGAATTGCAGGCGGAAGAGGAACGCGTGCTCCTCTTCCCCCGCGTTTCGATAGAAAAAGTGCCCCGAAGATTCCTTCACGTCCTGAGCATGACCCGAAGTGACTTCTCCGGAGAAGCCTTTCCCGGTGAAAAACCATCGAAGACGAGGAAAGCGCGCGATATCATAACGATACCAAAGTACATAACGGAATGTAGAACGGGAATCGTCAGAGATAAGATGGGAACGACGGGTAGGGGGGGGGGGGGGGGGCGAGTTGTCGAGGGGGGGGGGGGGGGGGGGGGGGGGCGGGGGACTAGTACTAGACACACGCGGGAGGCACAGTTGTCGGGATCCAACACCGTCAGCGACTGAGGGGACTCCCGAGACCTAACTGTGTGTGCACGCTCACGAGCGACATCCATTCACTGCCCGTGCACGCTTCCGCGAGTTATCGACGTAATATGAGAGCGGGTGGGAGAGAGAGAGGAGAGTGAGGAAGAGCAGAGAGAGGGAGGGACGGAGGGAGGGGAAAAGGATATAAGCTCGCTCGATCGAGAGAAATGCACATTTCCTTCAACTCTCAACGAGACAGTCGTGGAACTCCGGCCGTACTGAAGCCGCACTTTGATCGAGGGGCGTAGTACGGGACGATTCGTTCAAATATTCCACAGAGGAACGAGAGTGGGCTCGGTTTGCTGGCGACCGCGGTAACGACGAAACGGGTTCCGGCCTCGGGGAGGAATCGATGTCAGCTGTTGAGAGGCCGGTCAGCTGACGTCCCTCTCCCGCTTTGCTGAATTCTGTCGCCGCTCGCTCGCGCCTTCGTGCGGATCTGACCGTGTCCTACCGAACTCGTGAAGCGGGTTTACCGGTGCCGGTCTGCCTATTTGTTGCCGGAGATTGATGGACAAACGCTAGGGAGAGTAGCATAAAGCGAACGTGCGCAGGAGATAACTCTGCAGGAACCAGAAGTGCATGCGATCGGTGTGCAAGGTTCCACTCAAGAGGTTACACAAGCCGATTCGTCATAGTCACAGTGCATCAGAATTGGACTACCTGGGCCTTGAATCTTAAGTGGACGAATCTATTTTTCTTCGATAGCATGTCGAGTTTTCATTTTACAAGGCCAAAACAGTAACAAAAAGTACAAACTCATTTCCACTGGGGGAAAAGACCAACCAGTTGCTGCTCTCGGGGCTAATACTTGCCACTCAAATGGTTAAGGAAGAAGAAGCAAATGCCCCCTCCCCCTTCATCCACAGATGACTGATTCGTTCCCAACTTCAAACTTTTTAATAATAATAAAAGTATTGATTAAATAGGATCTCTTCTGGTCTTCTTACCTTGGCGTCATCTCCAAGAGTTGTTGCGAGTCCACATTTAAAGTCCAAAACTTTAAATGTTTATTTGTTAAATGGTAGAGCAAAATAAATTTGCTCTACCAAGCAAATGAATCGCGAGCTCACGCTCCTCCGAGCGAGAAAAGAAGCCTTGACTCAAAAAATCGCCGACCAAAACACGAAGCTTCCTGTGCCGCGTCGCTTCGCCCTCCTTTTTTTTTCCCCTCCTCCACCTCTTGCCTGTGCGAGAGACGGAAGCGGGAAGTGCTCCCGCGGCATTTCGCGTTCAAGCAGGACTCGAGGGGAACCACCTTCGCGGTGCGATGGCGATCTTGGCACGTACGCTGGACGACGTCTGGATATCGCCGAGTCCCATCTAAATTGCCGTGTCGGGTCGAAACGGTGGACGTCGTGGCTGAAGCACGAAATTTGACGCGCTTGCAGATTTGACTACAGGTCACATTCGGATATCTGAGCAAATCGAACTATTTTGATGTGAAAATTTGAGCTATTTTGGACCTTTTTTCAAAGTGGTAACCCAAATATCTGGATATCGTGGAACACGTTAGCCGAGACTCGGAAAGACAACAGTTGCAGCAGGGGAACTGAAAACGTTCCGGTATTCATTGCACCCAAGACCGAAAGCATTGCAAAGCATCTCATCGATCTCATGATCCTATAAATAGGAAATAACTTCTACCTCTCCCTCTCTTTTGCGAGCAGTGAAAGTAGAATGAAATTTGTAGCCATTCTGAGGAAGAGATCATTCGCGTATTTCCCGTCCTGGAATCGTTCTGGTCTTGCTTTTTCCCTCTTCTACGTTCCACGATGCCCTACTTTGGATCATCTTGCGTCTCGGACTCATTATTGTTTTAGGTCATGTTCCTGGTGGCGACCAAGTTTCAATCTCCACCTGCTCCCACGAAACTGGTTTTTCCCATCAACAAACGTATCAAGATGGCTTACGCCTCCACACCGCAAACATCCCCCGGCCAAATCTCTCATCTCGACAAAAAAAAATGAAAGAGGCAGTGGATCTTCTCATTCCACTCAAAACAAGCAAAATCAAACAGTACTCAACGACGCCTTGAAAACCTGACGGCAGCGAGACCCCGCCGCAGACTACCCCGAGCGCGACCGAACGAATCATCCAGACCCACCAAGGCGGAGGATTTTCACTCGGCCTTTAGGAGAATGTGGGAATCGATGAAGCGAACCCCGCGAGGGGGAAACCGTCCATTCCGGATCTGCAGGTCGTCTGGAGGACACCAGTCCATCCAGAAGAGCCCGGGTGCACCACTTCCTCTTCGGACCCCAGCATGTAGAGGAAACCTGACCAAAGTGGAACGGTAAGTTTTCCAGTTGAACGGTGTGCGTCGTTTATCGAAATGAAACTTTTACATCCAATATCCAGCTGAATGAGACCAGGACAGAGTTGACCCAAAACGAACGAGATCCGAAATACGGATTACAGGTGACTCTCGTCATACGCGGGGGTTGCGTTCCCGAGAATCCCGGAAGCTTTCACGGCGCCTGCGGATAGGGATCGTAATAGTCTCTATCGAAATGAAAGCGCGTATAACGAGAGTCACCTGTATTCTATAGTGATATATGTTAAAATATTCAACTTCTTTTCGAGAATCTCACGAGCCATCGCTTATGAATGACCTCTAAGTCATCTTGAAGAAATTGTTATTTATTGCAAGGATAGGAAAGGATGAACCCTCCTCAAAAGCCATTCGTGATCATGGGTCTTGTAATGTACTGTAGATTCCCCATAACACAAACTTCTGGAATAGTTCTAAGCGTTGTCGTTTTGAAGACTGTCGCTAAAAAGAGGAAAAATCGGCGGAGGAAGTGCACGTTGTTGTTCTTGCTTTCGAGGTTTCTTGCCTCCTCTTTTCCAGACAACTTTTGTTCGTACTTCTTTGAACTTCTTCAGTGGGGACAGTATTAGCTTTCATGAGAAGAGAGAGGAGAGAGAGAGCCAGCACAAAAGAGAGAGAGAGAGAGAGAGAGAAAGGTCGCGGAAGAGTGTCGTGGGTTGGATTTTCATCATTACGGATGCGTTTTGTGCAACTCTGTGATAGAAAACTACCACACCCATGACCAAGCATCAACCTCTCTTGGCTTTTCCACCTCTTCCATCTCCTCAACTATTGGGGGGGATTTCGACGGGGAAATCCAGGACAAGTCTTTGGCTCATTCTGAGTTGAAATTAAACAAATACCGGATTTGGTCGTTGAAGGTTCCGGTTATACGAAAGGTGGAATTTTTCCTGGTTCAGTCAGAGATTGGATGCTATTTTGAACCGATATTTTCGGCCAAAATGGGTATTTTGGCGGCATACTAACCTCCATATGGTGCTTATTCGTGCTGGATTTCATTCAAATCTGAGGTGCTCAGGAACAAAATCGATCAAATATTGAGGCGGAATGACTCATACGTCGATGGGCAACTTTTTTGCGTTCACCTTTTACTCCTGGCTAAAATCTAATGGGACATGTCCGGCATTTTCAGCAAGGCAGTAAGGTCCAGGGAAATGACCTCTACCCAACAAATGTGGAAATCAAATGCAATCATTGAGACATTTCACTTAAGCTAGGTTCACACCAACCACATAGCATAACATGACTGACATAAAATAACACAGCACCTACAGATTCTTGTTCACACTGGCGTCGCACTATGCGGTTCCTGTCATCAATATGGCATCACCTAGGCCTCTTGGCAGCGGGCAGGGTGAAGTCCGAGTAGACCCTGCTTAATAAAATCTTGTTATTCTCCATTATGGATGCTGATGCCCTGCTTTCGACATCGATCCTTTCAACCGTGGCATGTCACGTTCGAAGGCAGAGAAGAGATCGTCAGAGACGAAGGCTCGAGAAATCCTCTCTCCCCAATTAGTTCTGATTCCAGGCTAAGTTAGACCTAGTTAAATATACGCGATAATACAACCTTTCATTACGATCCTGCATCTAGGGGACATTTTTGGATACCAGTGGTTCTTGTCTAGGTTGGTTCATAGACCACCGGCCAATGGACTTCAATTATAAGGAGTTCCTCCATGCAAACCGCCATGATGAATTTGATGACACATCTCTGCTCTGATTGGCTGAGCATCGGTTCCTTGTGCGTTATGTTGACTCCAGCTCAACTCTTCGCACAGACCATAGAGCCCAGGTTTTGACCGCACAAGGGCACTTGTGCTATGCTATGTCGCCCTATGCTATGCTGTACGGTTGGTGTGAACCTAGCTTTATTGTTCCACTTTGCCTCGAGTACGGGGCAAAGTTTAAATTGTTGCAAAAAAAATTATTTGAAAATTCAGGTTCTCACGTGTTAATCCTAAATCCACCCGGTCTAATTACTGAACACACCTCAGGGTACATGCTGCCCGATGGGCATCCATTGTGACCTTATGAGACGGTTTAAGAGCCAAAAAACTGCGGAACCGTTCCGCTTCGCCCCGCTCTCCCGAATTTCCCCGAGACCCAACACAAAAATATTCCCCAGCGAGGTTCGCCGGGTAACCTCCACGTTCGGATTGCGCAAAAGGTCGTCGTCCCGATTCCCGTCTGCCAACTGGTCCCGAGGATTGCGCATTCGAGCCATATTTGTAACCTTATTCTGGATCGGTCGGTTCGTCATCGATCTGAAAGGCTGTCAATGTCTTTCGAGTCCGAAAAGAAAAAAAAAACTATTCTCTTTCATCTGTCGTCGGTGAGGATTTTGAAACCCTCGTCGACATCTGTTGAAGAGAAAGCCCGACAGTTGATACGAGAGGTCTTACCAACCTGACGGCCGCCGTCGACTGTTTTGTCGCCGATTGGATCGAAACCCTTCATTGAGAGGCCTTTCTCTTGTCCATTGACATCTCTGAAGCACTTGACAGTGTGGCACAGAGGGTTCCTTCAGGGCTATTACAGCCAAGGTTTGGCATCTCATCTATGGGTTTTGTTCGATACGAGCAATCAGTTTTCGTTGATGGCAGTGGCGTTACCAGGACTTCATCGAAAGGGAAGCCAGAATTTCTCCTGTCCCCTTTTCTCCCTCCTCCCCCTCCGCCTCCCTACCCACCAACATAGCTAGAAATTGTATTTCGGTGGGAGGGGTGCATTTAAATCAATCAGGAGAGTGGAAGTTAAGGGAACTAAGAAACTTGAGCCTGCTCTCCCCTTGCCATGCCACTGTGCATAGTTGTGTCAGGATCCCCGGCCCTTCACTGATGACGTTGCCTAAGGTTGCTTGCACACCAAATCGGTCGGGTCTAGTCTTGTCATTATCGGTCCAGTAAAGAATTTTTGAGCCCCATTTGCTCAACATGCAATTACAGCCCTCATCATGACTTGGCTCGACCAGGTAAGAACCGAATGATTATGATGTGCAAGCGCTCACTCTTACGCAGCGTCCTCCCCTTGACCTCCTCTTCCTCTGTCTTTCGAATGCGCCGTTTCCTAAACGGAGAAGGTCCCACCGTCTTTCTGCAGATGACGCTACTATCCATGCGCTCCACCCTCGGCGCGTTCCAAGGGAGCAGATGATTGCTTCGCTGCAACGGGACTTGGAATTCGCTATATGGGACGGTCCTTTCTTCGTGGAGCCGGATCACGATGGAACACTTCTCCTCCAAATCCAGGCAATCAGCACAGCGGAGGTGAGTCCATTCGGATAATTGCTATTCGGGTCGATTTCTGTGCGGATTTCGGCTAGTTTCCGATGAGAATCACAGAATTCGGATCGGATCGTATCGATCTCGGTGTTATAACTGTCTTTGTGGATCGGATGCAGTCATATTGACTGAATTGAAATATCTGGGGGGAAATTCCAAAAAAAGGGTAGTTTATACGCCTTTCTATTCCACCCTTCTATAGAATTAGCTATAGAAAGAACCTGGAATTACTCACTTGCCAAATGTAATCCACTGTAAGGCGAATAAGGTCTGTGGGATCCTGAGGTATAATTTCATGTCCAGGGAATTTGTTTCATGGGAAGTGGGAAGGGAAGGAAGCAGGCGTGCGACCGGAAGCCGGACTTCCTCTTCAAGACCTTAGCCTTTCCTGTCTTATTCCTCTTTTTTTCATTTTTTTAAAATGGATCCTCTGCAATCTTGCTTCGGCGCAGCGTTTAGTGCTCTGCGTTTGGTTTCTCCCGACCGACGCGTGCTCGATGCAAGGGCATCGGATCCAAGATAATGATGGCGATGATGGACAAGAAGAGGACGATGGTGAAATCTGCGGCCTGAAACACGACTCACTCAAGTTTCCGTCCAAGAGTCAGGCTGAAAAATTATATTATACACGTGTAATTGTGGGAAGAGAAATAGCTGCACGCGTCTGTGCCCATAGTGAACCCGTGAACGAAAACGAAACTGTCTGATACAGCTCATTTTGGTTTCCTTCACAATGCATTGGTGGCATTGATTACGACAAGCTGGCATGATAATCTAAAATAAAGTCAAAACTCATGCACGAAACCCAGAGTAAGGATCATGAAGGATCGCACCAGGATAACCTGACTTAAGGGCTTTTGAATCGCGCATGAAGACACGCTGACAGACTCGCTCAAGATTTTAAACGGTGGTGAAATCATATCTGCATGATGCATTAGAAAGCAGAAGGCGGCATCACTAATAAGCGGTGCTTACTCGGCGCTCGCATGAACGTCATGCCCTGCTCCCCTTCATGCACTGCTCAGTGGTGGCTTCCGGAATGCACCACGCCTCTGCCTTCACTCTTCTCGTCGCACACAAAGAGTGGTGGACCTGTAATGCGATTTCCTACCTTCTTTGTTCTCCTTTATCTGTGAATGCTTCAAGAATATTCGCAAGATTTGCCGGGTTTGGGGGGAAACACGTTTCTGCATTTTTCTGCCTTGATTTCCTTTTTTTTCTCCTGGTATTCTCTCCGACCAGCTCACTGCGTCGTACCAAAGAATGTCATCCACTGCCATGAACCGCACAAAAAATCAAAAGAAATGAAATGTTCTTTTTTTCCCCTTCTTTTTGATCAAAGAACATCCCAAATCTCAGATGCATGGGCACGTGCACGAGCAATAGCACGAGCTTGAGCATGAGCTGGCATATGGTGCTACGATGTCGTAAGAGATGAACTGACGAATTGGTCTCCAGTGAAGTTGTTGCTTTAAAGTTTCGAATTACCCCCCTCCGATCGCTAAAATATGCTGCAGCTGGTGGAGTTTGAAACTGTGATTGACGCGGCGCATCATCTGTTGGGAAGCGAGGGAACCCCCAAGTACATAGCGTGACCGAGTCCAAGGAGCGTGAGGAGTGAGTGAGTGAGGAGTGTGAGAGCCAGTCCGTCAGTGAAGACTGAACCCGGGATCCCTGACCTCCACAGCTTCCTCCCTCCCCTTCCCCCTCCTGGCCTGCCAGATTTTTTCCCTCCGGCCAACTCGGACTTCATAGCAGGCTAGCTCGCTCGGCCCAGGCCACGCAGGCCTCGCCTTCTCCGCGTTCCCTCGCGTGGGTGGACAGTATGTATTCGCCTGTGCGCTCCGAATCTCTCCCAGTGTACAGCGAGCTCTAGCCTACGTGTTACTTCCGAAGTTTTTGGTGACTGGAAAAGTAGGCTTTGGCTACGCCGAGCCTATCTCACGGAACTAATTGCGTTCGGTTCCTTCCTGCACCATTCTTCTTGGTGCTTCATTCGTGGTCACGTTCGTCACGGTGAGTTCTGCGATGCACTTTTATGTTGAAGCGGACCGAAATACTGTATAACGCCTAGTCACAGCATCGCCAAACCGTCAGTACTGTTGGCCTCCTGCTGCTGCCTTTGAATGATCCAGCTTTGAGTTTGAATCACCCCGACCCCATAAAACATTGAAAAATGGCGAGTTTAGGTGAAGCACTTTAAAAAACGATTGAAAATTGCCGGACTTGTTTTTATCACCACTAGGCTTGATCGTGTAGAAGTATGTGTCGTGAAGAAGTGGTACATTAGAGGTCCTACGACTCCAGATTTCTGGATTAACAAAGGCCTATTCCCCCCTCCCCCTCCATGCTCTATGAAGCTTGCTTCAAGGGCTTTAAAACGACGGGTGAACTCCTTACATACGAAAGTTGTATTCGATGGAGGCTAAGTTAAACAGGTGCAGCATTAATATATGGAAATGAGCTGGTTTCACGCTCCCAAAGTGGCTCATGCAGTATCAGTCTTGTCTATGAGCCTTACGGCACCGGGTCATCCAGTTCCGGGTTTCTCGAAGATGCTGCTGGACGTCGATAGCTGTCGATATAACTACGGCTCGTCTAGGGATTCCTGCGACATTTCACGAAAGTTAAACGCTCGGTCACTGGAAGTGCGAAATAAATTTATGAAATAATGGGAGCTTCCTCTCGATGGAAATCCTCCTTTCTGAAGTTGAGGGGGGTTTCGAATCGAAGTGATGCAACGTTTTACGGTGAATTGACATTCGACACCCTGCGAGGGCATGGGCCGCGAAGGGATGCTGGCATTTCAGCCGGACATCACGACCGGTGTCAAGGGTCCCCCGGCTGGAAGCCCTCAGAGTTGACCCGAATCGCCTGCAAATGGAGACCCACCCCGTCGGTCGCATTACGGCCTGTCGTCTTGTCTTTGTCATTCCTGGCAATAGGATGCCGGTGACGTCACCCTCATCCCAGTCGGTCACCAACATCCTGGTCAATCGGAGGGAGTGGTTTGCGGATAACTTTCTCTTTCATACGGTCTTTTGTGGATGCCACCCAAATGTTCATAACACATTGTTCATCTTTATCTACCGTCATTCTGGCTCGGATAAAATAATGCTAGCTGTATAGAGTCAATTTCGTAACACGTAACGCGTATTTTCTGCATTGTTTTTCCTGTATAGAATTGGGGCGTCATTCTCATGAAATATTCCTGGTCGCCTACGTTAAGCACCCTCTAATCAATGCCCTGGTTTGGGTTTCGTCATGCAAAAAGTTCCGAGACCCTCTTATGCTTTCCATGTTTAGAAACGGCCCTGAGTACGAACATAAAGGTACTCTGTAAATCCTCGACGATGCAGTGTGACCTTGATCTCTGCGAAAAGTATTGTCTGTATGGTAACAGGATAGATTGTGTCTCTTTTTATTCATTCCGTTTCCGTGACGATATTATAGCGCCTGTAGAGTTTCCATGGTTATCTATTCACCAGCGTGGCAGTTCAAGGATTTTAACGGGGGAGCCCATTTTGATCTACTACTGTTGGAACACGTATGTAGGGGGTCTGATGGGGTGTTTCCTTTGCACGAAGGAGAAAGTCCCAAACCTTTGGTACAAAACAGAGCATGAGCCGTTCGGGTCACGCATCTGGAGTTTGGCATGGGAATCCCAGGCATCCCAGACATGTGAGATCCGAGAAAGAATCACTTCTTAGATTGTCCGTGGGCGGTGTATGTTTTGAATGCCTTTTGTCTTTGTCGGTGGTTCTTATGCCCGGAAGTCTTCTGTCTTTGCTATAGCAGAATGCATCCGACTCTGCTTTGAACTTGAATTGTGATTTAGCATAGTTGCTTGCCACTATTGCGGAGCGCTTTAGTGGAATGGTCATGTATTGTTAGCTACAGCGGTTCATGAATACCACCAGTGATGGGAAGTAACGCGTTACTTTTTTCGAAATGTAACGTAGACACCAAAGACAGGCTGAAGGCTGAGGCTTTTCTCGCGTCGAGTCCCTGCTCCCTCCAGGTCGCCGGGCCATCATTGTATCTTCTGATGCGGATGCTGGCCCTTGCTGCAGAGTTCATGGCAGGCCGTGAGAAAGGGAATCTGTGTGGTAAAAAGCTATGTATTCGACGAGTATGCCTGCGAGAGAGCGAACACAGCGATTTTTCAGATGAAGTGTAATTTCTGGGATCTTGTTTTGACGGGAAAAAAGCCTTCATGTCAGTTCCTTGAAAGGAACCTTTCTTGTTCTTGCGACTAGCCATTTCTCATACATGAGCGAGGATTTCTTAAATATATATATATTTAATCCATTATTCAGTGATGCAACGTGCATTCAGGGAACGCGCTTAGCATTTTCGTCACCCTGCCCTTTGTTGATTGGTTGAACTCAATGGGTTCCAAGATGGAATTTACTTTTCATCTCTCCGTGCGATTCATAGAAGCTGATGTAATTCAATGAGCTCCTCAATGACGCACTTCTTTTGAAGAATCCTGATGGAGTCGCTCGTAGCTATGCAGCAGTATGTCACATAACTTCAAGCGCGCGCTTGAAGTTAGCGCGCTCACTGTTAGCGCGCACCCAAAACTTTTCTCTCTGATAGATCGATGACAATGCTTTTTATGTAGCTCATCTTCGATATATCGACACTCGAGTATTAAGTTTTTCCTTTCAGAATTGCCATTTTCCTTTCCTAGGTGTTGTGACAGTTCGCGGAATATAGGACAGTCTTTCTAGGAAAAAAAAAGAGCAAATAAGAAAACCAAACACATCGGCCAAATCTAACGGCAACATGCATTGACGTATTCGTTCTCGGAATACACGCTTTGGGAATTATCGCATGGACTTGTAGATAAACGTTCGTTGGGGAATTAAGAGAGTAAAGTAAGCCTCTCCGGGATGGGTCAAAGAGAATTGAAAGTTCCGAGAAACGGGTCGAGTGAACGGGAGCACAGTGGGCAATGAAGCCAAGATCATAAACCCTTGCCAACAGTGAGTTTTTTCTCTCTAAATGTTGCTGCCTTTCATTCGATAAAGACAGCTTTTCGACGGCAGCGATGTGGGACATCGAAACGCACGACTGAGAATCGCGCGCTGGTCTGATTTGTGTTCATCGGTGCCAGTGGATGCAGGGGGGGGGAGGAATGTCGCGTCCCTTATTCCTCGCCCCGGTCGGGCTAGGGAAAAACCGGAAGAGGCTTGGGAAGAAAGATTTCCGGGAAGATCAGAGCTTGATTTATGACGGCGCCGTGCATTCCTACCACAAGTCTTTGTTCCTCGATCCATTCTGGGTTCTGAGGCTGTTTTACCGTAACGCGACTGAGAGATTGCCAAGCTTGTCGTTCCTCCATATAGTATGTCGATCGACATTCAGTTGTCAAATGATTTTTCGTTCCATGCGATCACGACGCAGAATTTACGCGAACACGGGAATACTCTTCGATGATTTGTGGAAGCGGTAAAAAAAAAGGGACCTCATGAATGCAAGAAACGCATCGAGTGCTCACGCCCGTGAAGAGGTTGGATGGGCTCAATTACAGTCGATTTGCTTCATTGGGCTCAATCTAAGTGGACATGATCCGGAAAAGCTGGTTCCGATCTGGTCAGCTGAACTTGACCTGATTCGGAACTTGGAAATGGCATGGTGGGATTTGGAACGATAGAACTGGACTGGCTGGATCTGCCAGTCCTCTGTCCGGACACTTTCGAGGAAGGTTTATCTTTTTTTAATCGTCCTGTTCGATAATGTGAATAAAAGTCAACGCTTTTTACTGCAAAGTCAGGGCATACGAAAGTGAAATTCTTTAAAACTTGGGGGAAGGAAATATAGGATTGGGTTGATTGATGGATTTAAGTATGCGATTATGAACGCTTATTTTGGCAGGTCATTGAGTTTCGCTTGCAGAGCAGTCATCTGACGCCCGTTTGGTAATCTTCGTAAAAATCTTGAAATGTTGAAATGTCTCCGACGGTGCAGTTGTTTTGATCCTCCAACGTATTGTTCCTTTGTGGGAAGGTCTCCGCCTCGTTTCCCTAGGATCATGCCCAGAATGCAAACTGAAGTAGGATGGCTGCGCGGTTTACATCTCGTATAAAAGTTACTCCTATTGATGATGCAGTTCCGGCCTTTGGTAAATATTGAGCGGAAAATAGCAAGAAAAATAACACAACAATCAATTTTCACGATGTAGATAGAAGTTGAAAGACGTAAGCATCATCTGGATTGCGATCGCTCGTGAACTAGATCGAAGAGCTAGGCGCATTTTACGCAGATCTGGAGTACATGCGAATGCCTCATACTTCTGAGACGATTTACATGTGCTTCACAGCTGTGCTATTTGAATACCGCATTCTGCTTCTCGCCTCGGGATGAAGCTGTCAAGTGGCAAAGATCCATCCCCTGTGTCCTCGATGCCCATCATCATCAAAAGGGATTTTAATGGTTTGCAATTTAGTTGGAGCTCTACGCTTGGTTGCTCAGGTGGCGATGGTCATCTTGTGCCCCTTATAACTGCGAGAGATTTCCTTCCCACACCATTTTCTTCTCCGTTGATTCCTTTTCACACTTGAATCATTGCGTATGGGGGTCACCTCACGGTCGCCCCTTTGCTGCACCGTACCTTGAACCCTACGTCATAGCTCCTTACAGATTAAATACACTTGACAGAAAGTGCCGAAAATCAGCCCGTCGTATCCCATGAGGATGCTTCGCCTCGGCGTGATGCGCTTGATCGGAGCCCAAGCATTATAACCCTTTTTACCATCACCGTTCTTGTCATAAAAATTACTTTCCAGGAGCTCAAAGCAAACACGTTCCAGATGGCGATCAGACCTAGTGTCAGGAGGACTGGATATCTTCAGCAGATCGGGAAGTGTCTTATGGGGAGCATTGATCTGCAACGGTGTCAAAACATTCCTAAACACGTGCAGGGTCAGAGGAGACAGATTGACCAAAATTGATCGTGGTGACGAATGCTTTTGCTCTGTTAGAGAGGGACTTCATGATACTTTCGTTAA